TTTTACTCTATATCGTATATTTTTTTTAGTTTAAGATATATCTTATTTTCTGTTTTTATTCTTCGTTTAATATCATATTTTTTGTATTTTTATAAGGTTTTTAAAATAAATAATACTTTTATATATATTTTTTTTATTTATAATTTATTTTAAAAAAGAAAAAAATTTATATATTTTTTATTAAATGCACTAAAAATAAATAAAAAAATTAAAATTAAGTACGAAAAAAATAAATATTTATTTATTTTTTATAAAAAATTATTAAAGATAAAAAAATATATAAATATAACGCAATTTTTTTTATTTATATTTCAATAAATAATCTTTACAAATTTTTCAATATAATCATAATTTTATTACAATGTTTTTTTATTTTCAATTAAAAATTTTAATTCTTTCATTTTTTTTTTTTTCAAAAAATAATATAATAATGATAATTAAAACCAAAACGAAGTTATTTATATGTAATATATGAATATAAAAACACTTTTAAATATAGTTAATTATAATTAATTAATATTTCCATTAAAAATTATTGATTTTCAAATAATCTTTTTTTCTTTTTTTTTTTGTAATTTTTAAATATATATTTTTATCAAATATTAAAGTTCTTATTTATTTAATTTCTTAATATGATAAAAAATTTATTTATTTAAATCTTCTTCTTTTTAAAAAAAACTCATAAATATTCCAAGTTAATATCTTAAATAAAAAAAGGAATAAAACAATTTGAAATCATAAAATAAGTAATGAATTCATCTATAAAATAAAATATAACTTTATTTTGAAAAAGAAATACTATTAACATCTAAAATATTAAAATATATTATTTAATAAAAGTAAATTCCAAGATATTATTAGTAAAAGTAAATATATAAATAAATAAATTAAAACTGTATTTATAAATTAATAATGCTATACCATTGAAAAAATCAATATAATATAATTAATTAAACTTACAATCAAAGTTAAAATTACATTGTATTGTATTATTAATATTTTTATCTCGAAGAATTCTTTGTAAATAATAAAAGAAAAGATATAGATATTTTAAATGCAATTAATATTATTATTGTTTAGAAAAAAAAATATCAATTTTGTTTAAAACATTATAAATAAATCAACTATAATATATAGCTTTAAAATAAAAGTTTAAATAAATAATTAAAAAAAAAAAAAGTCTTATTAATTTTAAAAAAGTTACAAAAAAAAAAAATTTTTGAAATATATATTATTCCATATATATATATATATATATATATATTTTATTTTTTTAATTCTTAAAAGATTATTTAATTTATTTAATAATTAATCTAATATTTATATTTTTTTCAATAAAATATAATTATTTTTATATTATAATTATTTTCTATATAAGGTTTTTTAAACTTTATTTTTATTTTAAACCTTAATAATTTTATCTTTAAACCATTAAAATATCAATTAATCTTAAATAATAATTTTCTTATATTTTTAGAAATTATTAGCTTTATATTATAATAACTATTGTATTAATTTTATATTATTAATTTTTTATAAATTTAATATTATTTTAATCTTATAAATTTAAATAGTATTTATTAATATATATATTATTAAAGTTAAATATAATATATATGTCAATGAAATCATTTAAAATAAACAAAAAAACTATAAAATATTTAAATTATAAAATATACCATTAAAAACAAAATTTATATGTATCATAGTCTATATTTAATATTTCTTTTTATAAATTAATTGTAAAATATTTGAAATATTTATTCTTTTAATTTATATCTTTATCAGACCAATTTAATTTAATTTAATTAGTTTTCAAAATAAAAATAAAAGATTAATTATTTATTATTATTACAAAAATAAAAAATATTTCTTAAGCTTTTTTTCTCAATTTTATATATAATATTTTACGCTAATAAAATATAGTTTAAATCAGGTATATTTTAAATAATATTTCTTTTAACTAAATAGATTTTTGCAGATAAGAATGATTTATAAAAAATTATTAATTTGATTAAATTTTCTTTTTAGTTTTATTTGTATATTTCGTATTTTGTGGGGATTAATGTATTATTTAATGATAATATTTATTATATTTAAAATATAAAGGAAAAAAATTTATATAAATTTATATATATATATATATATATATATATATTATTAATATATATTTTTATATATATAATATTGAAATTAATTAATAATATTTTATTTTTAGATATAATATATATTAATAATTTTAAATTATACTAATAATTTCAACATTTGTCTATTATTTAGCATTATTTAAATATATTATTAAATGTATTTTACAAAAATATATTATATTTTATTTTTATAATATATAAAATAAATATTTTATTTTATTAAATTATTTTTATTAAGTATAAATTTAATCTATTATTTTTATATAATTAAAATTTATAAATATTTATTTATATAAAAAAATCAAATAATTATTTCATTTAATATTATTAACTTTTTTTATTTAAGCAAATTAAAAATAATTATTAGTAACTTATTTTTATTATTAAGTTTATATATAATTAGTATTATTTAATTAACTAATTTATTTTTTAGGTGAAATTATTTAAAGAAAATTATTATTAAACTTACAATTATTTTCTCTATTTTTTTATAGACTATTATTAATATTCTCGTATATATTTTATCTTTGCTAAAATATTTTATTTCTTTTTAATAGAATATAATTTCTATAATTAAACATTTTATTTTATAACTCACTATATTATTTATATCTACATGTTTAAAATCCAATATTTATTTAGCCAAAACTACACTTATTTTATAACTTTTCATTACTTTGTGCATTATTTATTTATTTTTTTATCTTTTAAAATCCATTAAAATACATACTTTATATTTGAAAATTCTTAATTGAACTTTTATTATGTTAAGTATTTTATTTTAATTTTTAAGCACTTTATTATTAAGCATAAAAACTTAGACTAAGATTTTAATAATATTTTTAATCATAATCTTCATAATTATTTTTATTTTAAAATATATGTTTATCTATATTCTTTTCTAAAGTAAAAGAATAAAATTATTAATTATTTTCTTAAGGAATCTATTATTTTAATATTAGCTAGTTTATTCTAATTGTTTTGTTTGGTCTTTATTTTATATTTTTATTAATTATCATAAATTAATATTACTTTTTTATATTTTAAAGTATTTAATAAATAAAAATTAAATTATGAAATAATTAATTTTTATTTTATTATTATTTAATACATATTGATAAGATATAACAGTTTATAAATATTATTTTTTTAAATAATTTTATTATATGTTTTTATGTTTACAATGGTATCTAATAAAAATAAAATTTCTTAATATAAAAATTATTCTATATTCCCAAAAAATAAATATGAATAGAATAAAGTATTCTGTATTGATTTAGTAGTTAAATATATTTTAATAATTAAAAACTTAAAATATTATTTATTTTTAAAAAAATAACATATAAAATGTAAAATTAGATTAAAAGCTTAAAGTTTATCATAAAATAGCCTTAAACCTATTTTAAACAATAGTTTATATGAAAAAAAAAAATTAATAATTTAAAATAAATGTTATTAATAAAAAATATTAATTAAGATTACGATTATGAAAAATATACAAATTATATATATATTTTTTAAAAATCAACATAATCAAAATTTATTCTAAAAATTTTGGATAAAATTTTATGTTATTTTATAAACCATTTTAAATTATTCTTTGGTCTAAACCATTAGAGTTCTTTATTCTCTTAATTTTCTAACAATATCAAACATATTTAATTATTATTTTAAAAATTCTTCTTGTTTTTATTCTAATAAAAAAAGTTTTGATTTTTATAAATATATAAATATATAAATATATATATATATATTTATATATATATTTATATATATATATTTATAATATACATTTATACATTTATACATTTATATTTATAAATTTTTAACCTTTATGAATTTATGCATCGTTCTTAATATTTTCATAAATTTTCTTTAGTTCTATATAAGAAAAAGTACAAGAAAGTAAAGTTCCTGTTCTTCCTACACCAGCACTTAAGTTAATAATTTATATTTTAAAAAATATAAATTTTTAAACCTGCAATGTAAAGTAGGTTTTAAATTATTTTGAAAATCTTATGCGGCTTTTACAGCTAATTCTTAAAGAGCTTATGTATTTTCAGGAACTCCATGATCTGGCCATCCTTCCCACTTATTTTTTTATATTTTTTAATTTTTAATATATATTAAATAGTTTTTACGTGTATTTATTCAACTTATAATTCATTGTTCTATCCTTCTTTTGTTAATTTGAACATTCTAATTGTTATTTCTTTGTCTTTACCATTTTTTTCTCCTAAGTTTTCAACTGTTATTTATCCATATTTTTATTTGCCTATTGGCCAATATTAATCGCATTTAGGCTAATATTATTTTTTTATAAAATAATATTAAATAAAATAATGTTATAAATTTACTCTATTAACTTCTTTTAATTTACATAACATTATAATTACTCTAGATTCATGTTCCCATATCATTTTCCAAAAATTATCAAATGTTTAATTTAAAGGGCCTTAAGTAGCTATATAATAATTAGAAGATCTATAAGGGAAAGTAGTCTATTATATAAATATATATTTTAGATTTTTTATTAAATTAATAAAATTTAAGTTATTTTTTTTTTATGAAAAAAAAAAAAAGCTTAAATTCTAATAACTAAATGAAAACATATAATAATAAAATATTTATTATATGAATATATTATTTTTTTAATTATTATTTATATTTTTTACATATATATAATTAGCATTAATGTATTTTTCTTTATCAGAATCTCCGCTTACTTAAACTACTGTACTTTTATCTAAGTAAAAAATATTTAATAATAAATATTTTTTATATTCTTAAAAAAGATTTACAAGGAATAATATCACAATATCTATTTGCTTCTGAGTCTATAGAATTATCGACCATATTATCAAGATGAGCTTATGTTAAAGTCATTTAATTTAATTTCTAAAATATTTTTTTATTGTATAAGATAATATACTTATTTTTTTTTTAATTATTTACATTAAATAATTATTGACTTCCTTAATTAAAATGAAAAATAGATAATTAAGTACTTTTTTCGTCCATGTCTTTACTAGAAATGTCTTAGATTTTTTCTTAAGTTTATATGATATCCATTTTATATTAGTTTTAGATATAAATAGATTATGAATAAAAAATATAATTTTTTGTTTTTAATAATTGTTTAATTTTTTTTTTAAAAATAAGCATAAATAAAATTTTTATTTATTATATTATTACAAATATCAAATATCTTAATTTTATAGAAAATTATTTATAATTTAAATATTTAATTAAAATCTATAGTATTTTTATAAAATAAAAATATATATATATTATATGTGATTTTTATTATGTTTAAAAAATGTTATTAAATTAAAAAATTTAATAAATAATAAATAATATTTAATATATAAAATATATATATATTATATATTATTTATATTTTATTTTTATTTTATTTCAATATATATTTTTAATTTAAAATAATAAAAATAAATCAATTTTTTTATTAAAATAAGAAATATGCTTAAGAATATATTTTTTTTTTAATTTTAATTAAATTATTTTTATGTACATTAGTATTATTCACAATATTAAGAATATAAAACTTAAATATATGTATTCTTTATATTGAATAAATAAAGTTATCACAACTTTATAAATTAAATATAAAATATAATAACAATATCTTCTAAGAAATGTTATCAATATTCTCAAAGTCTTTTAATTATTCCATTCGTTTGTTGGAAAAATAGGTTTTGACGTTTTCTTCATTTTTTTATTTTTTTTGTTTTAATTTAATATATAAATATATTACTTGTTATTCTATATCTATTTATTATATATTTAAAAATTATTAAATAGAATTTTCATTGCTTGTATTATTTTAATCATTGTTTTTATTATTTTGATTTTTTTTTTATCCTTTATATTAATAATACTTGTCATAATTTTGTTCTGTTTATTAAAATTTGGAAGCATTATATTTTGATTTATAATAAAATTTAGAATGGAAACAATTATAATTTAATATTTTGTATTTTAAATAATTATTGTTTAAAAATTTTCTATATATAAAAGACATTTTTTATAAAAATTTTTTTCTTTTTTTTTTTTTAAAAAAAAATATACTTTTAAAATTAATTAAAAAAAAAAAAAATAATAAAAAAAAAGATAATGTAAAAATTATAATATTTTTTTATTTATATTAGTCAACAATAAATATATAATTAAAAAAATTAATATAATTCTAATTCGTTTTAATAAAAATTTTGTTAAATACTTAATTTTAATTAAATAGAATTATGCAAGTATAAAATTAATAATTGTTAAATTTTAATATAAAAAAATGAAAAACTTATTATAAAATAAAAACTTAAAAAAATAAAAAACCAAAGAAAATGTACAAGAAATCGAAGATACTCACATTTCAGACATGTTGAAATAAGTAGATTCAAAATTTTCAGTTTTTAATCGAAAATCTTAACGAAAAATAAAAAAAGAACAAAAAAAATAATAAAAACAGGATTTTTTTTCTCGCAAAAAACAAAATAAAAACATTAATAAATAATAAAAGGCCAAAGAAAGCAATTAAATTTAAGAAAAAACTGAATAATAACAACATTAAAAAAGTGTACAAAGAAAAACAGAATAAATATAAAATAAAAAAAAAGAATAAAACTCCGATTTATAAAGACTTTAAAATTAAATATAATAAGATGATGAAGAAATAAAATACTATGAAAAATTATTAGGGAAAGGCCGTTCCAAAACATTAGATAAAAGAGTAAAAAGAGAATTAAAATAAGATGGATGGACTGATGATTTTATGGATTTTTTAGATAATATTTCTGTTGCAGTTAAAAAAAATGTGAATGAATATTAACCTTTTTTTAAAGATGAAGGTATTTTGAAAAACAAAGAATCTAAAAAATCAGAAAATGACGATGATGATGATGATTAGTTTATTACAGAAGAAAGCTCTTTATAAGAGTAAGCGTTAAATGAAGAAAATAAAGATTATTATGAATCTATGAAAAAAGAAGGACTAGAAAATGAAGAAGTTGAAGAAGAAGAAGAATTATACGATGAAGAAGAAGAAGAATTAGATTACGAAGAAGAAGATGAATTAGACGATGAAGAAGAAGAAGAAGAAGAAGAAGAAAATCAATAATAATTAGATGAAAAATAAGAACAAGAAGTAGATTAAGAAAAAGAAGAAGAAGAAGAAGAAATAGAGGATGAAGAAGAAGAAATAGAAGATGAAGAAGAAGAAATAGAAGATGAAGAAGAAGAAGAAGAAGAAATAGAGCATGAAGAAGAAATAGACTATGAAGAAGAAATAGATGATGAAGAAGAAGAGATAGATTAGGAAGAAGAAAATGAAATAAAAAACAACAATGATAAAAAAGAAAAATAAATAAAATCAATTTTAAAAAAAGATACAAACTTTTAAAACAAATAAACATAAAACACAAAAGAAAAACAAGAACTAGATAACTAAAGATAAGAAAAACAAGAATAATATGAAAAGCAGGATATTGAAAAAAAGAAAGAAATCCGTTTATCGTTAGTAAAAAATTTCAATAAAATTTCAGAAACTAATATAGACATAATATTTTAAGAAATAGTAAATTATATATAAAAATATATACATATATATTAAAGATGTTTTATAAGTAAAATGTAATTTATTTCATTTTAAAATCTTAAATAAAAATAAATCAAAAGAAGGATAAATATTTTTTTAATAGCATTTTTATTAGTAAATTAACGTTTATAAAATAAAAGAATTACAAAAAAAACATCATATAAATATAAATAAATATATATATAAATAAAAAATATAAATATATTATATATATTCTTTATATAAATATATAATATATATTCTTTATATAATTATAATATATTTGTAGGTTATTCTATTTGAAAAATATCCTAAAAATCTTATAAATCCAATATTTTCAGATATATTTCTCTCTACTACAATTTTTCCAGTAAAAGTATTACCTTATATTCTTGCTTGTAATTCAGTTGTAGTTTCCGGTATCCACTAAATTTTTGACAATGAGAATTTCGCTCCCATAATGAAATCCTTATTAATTGAATATGAGAAAATAATAAACTAAAAATAACTTTTTGAATAAGAAGGAAATAAATACGAAGAAGAACTATTATTTAACAAATTGAGAAACATAACCATAATTTTTCTTATTTTTACTTATTCGATAGTCTCAGTGTTTCTTTCATTCGAGGATTTTACGATAATTTACTCCTAAATATAAACGAAAGGACAATAGAAGCTCTTTTATTACTTACTTAGCATATAGGCTAGAAAATAAGGAATGATAATCCTATTATAATAAAGTAAATTATAGACCAGACGAGAGTTAGTGTAGAAAAATACTAAAAAAAATCAAAAAAAATTGAATTTATAATGCTTACATTAAATGATATTCGTTTAAATAAAAAATTAAAGTCAGATCCTTTATAAAGACTAGAATTTTTTATTAATTGGCTGAAGAAAAATATAGTTGGAAAAATGAGATTAACACCCAAAATATTTCCAATTGATTTCCAAACAGCTTTAAATGCTAAAAAAGATACTCCAAGATGGTTTACGTAATTCGAAACTGGCCTTTATAGAAAAAGTGATTAAAACGATAACACTTTAAATGAAGAAAATTATAATTTTCTAGAAAATATAGACATTGAGAAAAAAATAAACTAGAAAAACTCGCTATATAATGTAAAATGGTAACTGATACTCGAAAAAGAATTTTTCTTATAATAATGAGCGCTGAAGATTATATAGATGCTGCTTAGAAAATATTTAAATTAAAAGTCAATAAAAAATAAAGTTATTAGGATATTCCTCTTGTTATTATTTAATGTTGTGCATAAGAAAAGGCTTATAATCCTTATTATGGTTTATTGGCTTAAAAAATAATTTAGGTAAATCCTAAAATTAAGTTCGGGTTTTAATATGCGCTTTGGGATTAATTTAAAACACTGGAAGATTTACGAAAAATGCATAATTTAGCATATTTTTCGGCTTTTTTGTGTTCTTAGAAATTCTTAGGGATTTCGTTTCTGAAGTTTTTTGATTTTGATAATCCTTCTGAATTTTAAGTTATGTTTATTAAATAATTCCTAAATGCATTTTTGGAAAAAGTATCTGAGGAAAATTTAAATGTGTAAATTTAAAAAACAGTCGCTAATTAAGAAAATATACTTTTTGTAGAAACTTTAAAAGAGTTTTTGAAAAATTATTATTGGAGATATATTAATAATAATAAAAAATATAAAGACAATGAAAAATTTAAAAATTAAATTAAATTTTTTGCTAAAAATCTGATTATGTAAGAAAATAATATTAAAGAAAAAGATTATTGATTATTTATGTGTAGTTTTTTATATATATTTAATATTTAATATAAATCTTATAAAATAAAAAAAACAGAATTATTAATAGAAATAATAATATTTAATATAATAAAGAACAAAAATAATATTTTTAGTAACTATATTAATATTTTTCTATTAAATTCTAATATTTTATTATTAAATTATGTTAAAAATATAATATATTTTTAGAAATTCATATTAAATATTTTAAAATATATAAGAAAAATGTTTGAAGTAATTTTAAATTATTTGAAAAAACATATTTAAAATTATTTAATATGAGAATAAAAAAAAAAAAGTTAATTTATTTTAAACAATTATTTTAATTGAAAAATTTAATATTTATATAAAATATAGACAAAAATAAATTTTTAATTTATCTTAAAAAAAACATTAATAAATATATACATATATAAAAAAAAATTTAAATTTATATATAAATATATATATAATATTAATATATAAATATATATATAAATATAATATATATATATTTATATATATATGTATATATATATATACTTTTTAATTCATTTAATTTATATTTATAATTTTTTTTTTATTTCAAAAAATATTTATATTTTTATAATTTATATATAATATACTTACTCTTAATTTTTTTTTTATAAATTAATACATATAAAAAAGAACAAAAATTTTAAATAAATCATTTATATTAATTTTCTATATATTTTTATATTTATTTTCCATTTTTTTTTTCATTTTAACCTTATTTTTAATATCTCTATTAAATTAAATATCAAGAATGATATTATTAAATATAATAAATATTTTTATTATTTTTAATTTATAGAATTCATATCGTCTATTTATTTACTTATTTAACTGATTTAGCTTATTTTTTCATCATTACATTTTATTTATTTTAAATTTATATATATTGATCTTATATTTACTATAATTTTTTTTATTTTTTTGAAAATTTGACTATCTTAATTAATTACACTTTATATTTTTTTTTTCAAATAATTTTCTATATTATCTTGAATTGCAGTTGTAAACATATTATTCCAAACGTCTTTATTTTCAGAAATTGTTCCATTTTCGATTCTTGTTATAAAGGATGTCGATTTTAAGAAATTTACATAAACTTTATATGCTTATTTATGTCTTTATATCATCAACTAAATTATTTTACAATACTCTGTATTATGTTCGGACTGTAAAGTAGTCGCTATAGGGAATTTTACTCATAAAAAGTTCCTTCTCAATGATAAACTCTTTATCATTTATAAAAAAGAACTTTTCTTTTACATTACATTAGCATACTTTTGGTCCAAAAGGTATTTTCTCTCTTATAGGATGCGTAAAATAGCATTCCCTATAATGTGTTTCAGAACTTAAATAAATAGTATCAACTTAATTATTATTAAAATCAGAATATAAAAGAGGAATATCTGGTTAAATTTTCTAAAATTAAACATCAGTGTCTTTTATTTTTCAATAATAAAAAATTCAAAGTAAGAATTATATTCTTTTTAATTAGAATCATGTTTATATTTATTTTCACTAAAATTTAAAGAAAAACTTCTTTTGCAGTAACATAATTTATATCAATTTATTAATGAAATAGATTAATTGATTATTCTTATATGTTTTAAAAAAAACTTTATTAAATAAATATTTATCTTCGTTTTTCAAAAATAACAAGCTAATTATCATTTATTTATTATAAATTATTAATATTTTATTCAATATTTATAAGATCTGTACTTTAAGAGGTTTCATTTTATTCTAATTATTAACATTATTATTATTATTATTATTATTATTATTATTATTATTATTATTATAAAGGTAAATTTAATTTTAGGTTTATCTTTTATAATTAAATTATTTTAATTTTATTTTTCATCTAATATATTTAATGTATTATCTTAAATTAAATAAATAAATATATATTATATAAATAAATTTATATATATATATTTTTATATATATATATATTATATATATATATATTTATTATCTATCTATATCATTTTAATATTCTACTACTTTTTTTAGATTATTTTTTATTTTCTTCTTAATCTTTATTTATTATAAAATTTAATATTTTTATTTTATTATAATACTATTATTTTCAATCAATTATTTTAAAAGATTAAAGCAAATTTCCCTATTAATATAAGAAGTAAAAATAGTTCGCCTTTATTAGTAATAATTGCTATGCTATTTTCAAAAACAAGTGCATTTTTTCTTTTTTCTACTTTAATTATATCATTTAATGGTATACATAAAGTAGTATATCCAACAAAACTTTAACTATTAAAATATGAATGAAATCCTATTTTATCACTATATACATACATTTTACCTTAGAGAAGTATTTTATGTGAAAATGCGCAATTAAAAGAATCTATTAAATTTTAATCATTTGTTTATGTTTATAACTATATAAATTTTTAAGTATTTTTTTATTAAATTGAGTTTTCTGAATTTGATATACTTGTTTGATTATCACTATTATTAATTTTTTATTCAATATTATTTTCTTAAAAATTAATAATTTAATTTTTCCTTTCTTCAATGTGTTTTAGAAAATTTTCTGAAATTTTCAATTGTTTTTTAAACTAGAAAATTTTATTATTTTTTACTTATATAATATTTTCCAAAAATAAAGAACTTTATTTGGTAAAAATATCCTCTATTTTATTATCAATTTCATCCTTTTTTAAAAAATTCTTATTTTATGATTATTATATGCAAATACTGTTATTTTCCATAACCTGGCTATATTATTTACATACTTTTATTAAAATATCTTTTGTACTTAAAAGTCTCTTTTATTCGTCGTTTTTAAATTATTCTAAAGAAATTACTAAAAAATTGTTAGTTTCAATTATCCATTTTATCTTATTCACTGTTTTTAAGTAATCCGAAAATAATTTTCTGTACATATTAAAAAAAGAAGTTGATTATTAATTTTAGTCGTTTTAATTTTGTTCGATTTGTTTTATTGATGTACTTAGTATCATTATTAAGTTCACGATTTAAACTAATTATTTATTTGATTATTAGATTAAAGAATCTATTATAGACGCTAGGATTTATAATATAGGATCTTAGAGTTATTGACTGATAATTTTTTGTAAATAATTGTTCTCTTTTTAGATGTTCTGACACTATTAGTCAAGATTATCACGAAATTCGAGAAGAAATTCACGAATACTTTTTATTAATAAGTTCCTTTCTTGAATAATTTATTCAAAAGTATCTATGAAAATTATAGCAGATTCATAATAAGAATTATATTAATTTTATGATAACTATTTTATAAAATATGTAAATATAAAATAAAATACTTAAATAACATCTTTTTTAGTTTATAATGCCAAAGAAAGAGTCAAAAAGTTATTTCCCGGTGATGATTAATCATTATCTAAATTTATATAAAAAATAAAAATTTATAAGTATAAAAAAAAATTTTATAAATAGTAAATTATAAAAAAAAATGTAATATAAATTTATATGTTTATATATCTATATATTTATTAAAAAATTAAATTAAATATATTTATATATATATATATATATAATTATATTTTTATTCATTTTAATATATATTTATCTATATTTAATATTAATTACTTAATTATAATAATCTTTATTGAATAATTTAATTTTCATCTTCCTATATCTTATAATCGTCTTAATCTAATTTTTTTTCTTTTAGAATTTCATTACAATATTTTGATATTTAAATTTGTGATTTTTAAATAAAACATATAAAATCTTAAATTTTTTCAACTTAAAATTTATATTCATTTTTTATATTATTATATATTTCTAATATAAACTATGGTATATTATTTATATAATTATTGTTTTCTTCTATTAATTTGTTCATTTAATTTTCTTAAAGTTCAATTTCTTTTGTTTAATCGTATATTTTTTTATATTAACGCTCAAAATAAGCTACATTATATACTAATTTTATATCATTATTTGCATTTTTTAATTCTTTCACATTTGTATCGAATTCTTTGCAAGTCTTGTAGTATTTTTGTTGTTTTTTAAAATATTCATTTTTTTATATTTGTAGATTTTTTTAAATTAAATATAATCTTTCTTACATTTATTTAAATGTATCTTTTATTTAATCAGAGTAATTTTATACATTTTATAATAAATAGCTTTTATTTTTTAGTTACATTTCATGCATTTTTTGCGATACTTCTTGGGTTAGAAGTGACATATTATGGATTAATTACAGAAAATATCTCCCAGTTTACCAATTTATGCAATTTTGTTACTTTTTAGAAGACTTTATTTATTATTTAGAATATTGTTCGACTTCGGTTTCTATATTAAGGGCATAATTCGTAAAGTTTTTGGATGATTTTTTTAAATTTTCGAAAAGATTGTCAAATCTTTTTATTTTTTCGTTATAATTAATTTGAATTTCCTTTTATTCTAAGTGGATTTAGGATAATAATTATTCGTCAGTATTTAATAAAATGTAGTCAATTTATTAAATAGAAGTTTCGGATTAATTAAATTAATTAGAAGACATTATTTTTAAATTATATTATATAAATATTAAAAAAAAAAAAATTATAAATTGTAAAAAAATTAATATAGCGCTATTAAATATATATAAAAGATATATATGTAAAAAATAAAATTATGTATTTTGATATTTATTCTAAATAGATTATTATTAATAATTTAAAAAATTTTTTTTTTCTTTAAATATAAATAATAATATCGTTTTTAAAAAAATAAAAAATTATAAATATGTTTTAATATAATAAGATTTAATAAATAAAAAAATAAAAATAAAAATACAATTTTTATTAATAATATATCAAATCAAAATATTAATAAATATAATATTTATATATATTCATATATAAGTAAATATAAATATATATAAATATATAAATAATATATAATATATATATATAATTAAATAAATAAATAAATGCATATAAAACTTTCTTTAAATTATATAGTATATACTTCTTCTATTTTTCTACTTATTTTAGGGATAATAATAAATGTTTTTTCTGTTTAACAAATATAAAAATATGATATATTATGGTAATACATAGATACTACATATAGGTAATATACTTTATCAATTTCTTGTGGGTTCGGAGTTTTTGTTATAATTACATCATTATTTGGTATCATAGGAATGCATTAAAAAAAATATTTAATTTTAGTTTTTTTTTCTATAAGTGTATTTATAATATCAATTCTATTTATAGTGTTAGGTTTTATAATAACTAGATTTGAAAATAATGAATATTAATAAATAAAAAATGATAAGGAATGTTTTGGAGTAACATTCTAATGGATTTTATATGCAAACCTAGTTTGTAATTCTGCATAATAGATTTTTTGCGGGTACACATGTCCATGTTATGTTAAAGATAAACAATCATTTCCTAGTGGAACATTTTAAAGTAATTTATATATATATATATATATGTGTATTTTATTTACATTATTTTATACATATATTTTTAAAATATATATATTTTATTTATGTATTTTTTATATATATATTTATATATATATTTTCTAGTATATTAAGCTGTTGTAAATGATCCTAATATTGGAGTTAATAGTGTTTAAAATTGCAAAGGATTTAATATAATACCTGAAGATCAAATGAAGTATATACCTCTAGCGAAATTTATTGAAGAATAATTCGAATGTAGTGGTTTTTGTAATGTTAGTAAGTATTATTTGTTTTCGGATATTAATAGGGGACCTCCAAAATATTAATTAGGATGTAAAGATAGATTATAGATATTTTTTGAAAGTTAAATTAAAAATATTTAGCTTTTTGCGTTTTTGACAGGAGTATTTGTACTTCTTTTAGTTTTGCTATTCGTTTTATTATGTTGGCTCAAAAAAAAAAGAATTATTAATGATGAAAATGGAAATACCTATTATTAATTAACTTGATTTTTTGTTATTTTAATTGTAATTATAAATAATTATAAAATAAACAAGATTAATTTTTTTTTTTTTAATTTAATATTTTTTTTTTTTAAAGTGAAAAAAAAATTAAATAATGTATAAAAATATTATTTATTTATTATAATTTTTTAATAAAAAATAAATATATAAATAATATATATTATTAATAACTTAAATATTATATATGTTTATATTTTTTATTTATATTTTCACATTTAATTATAATTTTAATTATTTTAAATTCATAATTACTATTAATAAACGACCAATTTTTAATGTAATTATTATTCTATACTTATTATTAATTTTAACTTAAATAAAATTACATATTATCATTATTCTTACTATCAAATATTTATTTAATTTAAGGAGGAGGTACTTTAGCTTTTCTAAAATATAATTTTTTGAAAAAAATAATAATAAAAATAAAATAAAAATTAAACCTCTAAGCTACTTAAACCCAATTTAAGCCACTAAAAAATTGATGTTTTTTAATTTCATCAAAATCATTTTTCCCTGAACCTAATCTTTTAGCCGGATTTTTTACAAGTAACTTATAAAATAAAATAAAATAAAATAAAATAAAACTAAGCCTAATTAACATAAAAAAAAACCTTAGAAATCAAATTCCTTGCATTATTTGAAACATAACTTGGATATCTTAAATCTTAAAATTCAATATTATGTACTAATTCATCCCTTTTTTAAAAAAATAAAATTAAAATAGCAAACAAACAAAAATATAAACTAATTATATTTTTACTTCTAATCACTAAAAAATGGAGGATTACCAGTAATCATTTCATATAACAAAACGCCTAAATGATAGTAATCTACAGCCTTTCCATGCCCGCATTTTTTGAGCATTTCTGGTGCTAAATAAGCCAATGACCCACAAAAAGAATGAGTTGAATAATGATCATATATTCCGTCTTTAGAAAGTCCGAAATCAGTCAAAAGAGCATGTCCTTCACTATCTAAAACCACATTTTCTGGTTTAAGATCTCTATATATAATATCATTATTATGTAAATGCCTCACTGCTAAAATGATTTCCGCAAAATAAATTCGAGCTCTGGATTCTGTGAACCTTTTTTCCCTTTATAAAGCCTGAGAAAGATCACCTCCGGGTGCATATTCCATTATAAGAAAAAGGTCTTTATTAGTTTAAAATGCATACATTAATTTCACTATGAAAGGATGATTTATTATGCTTAAAACATTTCTCTCTGTAAGGGCATATTTAGTTAGATTCTGACCTAAAATTTTCGATTTAGAGAGCATTTTCATTGCTAAATATTATTAAGTCCCTTTAAGTTCAACAAGGAAAACCTCACCAAATGATCCTCTCCCTATTTAATTTATAATTCGGAAAGATTCAGGGCCTATTTTTTAATGAATTTGCTCGTTTAGACTACCTTTTTTATCATCAGAAGTATTAGATTCTCTAATACTTTTAACTGAATTGTTAATTAATATTTCGTTTGTGGAAGTATAGGTGTTAGTTTAATTATTATGGCTGTTTTCGGAAGATAAGTTACTTGATTTTTATTAATTATTTGCTTATTAGAACATTTTGATAATACTTTCATTCGAATAGTCGTATATGATTACTTTTCTATATTATTGTTATGAAGAGTTATTTAGAAAAGAATCCTGTAATAAATTACTTGAGTTTTTTTATGAATCTTAACTAGAAATACTTTAAGTTTATTCTAATTAAGCAAAAACATCAGAACCTATACCATATCTTTTAGAATTAGGACTAAACATATATTAAATTGTTTTTATTTTGTTTAAACTTTCTTAATTGTCATCCCTATTAAAATATTATTGTTATTAAATTAATTAATTTTTATTAATATAATGATTTTCCGTAGAAATAGATTTCTAATATTAATTAAAAATATTTAAAACATCAAAATTATCACTTAATTAAAACGCAATTTTATTTTCCATATTTTTAAGTGATATATCTATATTTTTACAAGATAATAAAATCTTAATACTTTCTATGCTATTACATTTACATGCATAATGAAGGGCTGTATATTAGTTTAAATCCTATAAATTTATATCTGCACCAGCTTTTATACAAATTTCAATTATTTAAAAGAAATTTCTATAATATATATATATATATATATATATATATATATATTAATATATATATATATATATTTCTTATTATTTTTACTTTTATGCTGCTAACATTATTGGAGTTTAATTTAAATTATTTATTATATTTATATCTGCATTATTTGATATTAAAATGTTAAATATAAATATATGCCCGTTACAAGCAGCATAATGTAAGCTAGCCCATTAGTTGTTATCTTTATAATCTACATCGGCTTTCAAATCTGGCCTTTCTTTGAATTATAATAATTATTCGATTTATTAAAATTTATTGTCTCTTACACTATATATTAGTTTTTGGTTGTTTTCTTTCTTTGATGTCCACCATTATTGCCATGCATTTTTGTGCCTTTTTTTTAATTTTTCCATAAATTCTTAGTTTTTTTTGTATTGAAACTAATCTATATTATCTATATCTCGAATATCATACACTTGACCTTTATTTTTTATAATAAGGAATATGTTAATTTTTTATAATAAAAAATAATAAATTTAACATTTTATAAATGATATTTAAAAAAATATCATATAATAAAACATTTTTTTACCTGTATCTTTGTCTCTTATTATAAAAACATCATTGGATTCTTCTTACATATTTTATATTTATTTTTCTTCTTTCTTATTCTATTAAAAATCTTTTATTTACTATTCTTGCTTTATTTCTTAATTAGATTTCTGGAAATATTTATGATTATCATTTTAAAAAGGAGACGTATAAGTGTATGTATTTAATCCTTTTTTTTATTTTTCTTATTTTTTTTATAAATCAGAATTAAATCCATTATTTGTTTTCTATAAAGTTTAAAAAATCATTTAAATTTGGATAATATATTATTTATTTTTAATTTACAATAACTTAATTTGCAGAAGTTTAATAAAATTATTGCTATTAAAATTAATTTTAAGTATTTTATTAATTTAAATGGCTATTCTGATAAATTTATTGATTATTATTACCATTTATTTATTAATAGCTTGTTTAATTAATCATTGCATGCTAAATTTTATATTGTTTTTTAATAAAAATATATTTATTTTTGTTTAATTTTTTCTATCCTTAATCATTATTTATTTACTTATTATGAGTTTTAATATTAGTTCTATTCTGTATAATATTATCTATTCATATTTTTTTTTTATTAATTACAAAATTTATTTTAAATTATTTTTTAATAATTTAAATATTAATAATTATTTTTAATATTTTTTATAGAAAAATTATATAATATTAGAAATAGTTTAAGTTACTTAAAAACAAACAAACAAATATTTTAAAAACTTTAAAATTAATTTTTTATAAAAAATGAATATATAACGTTAAACTTAATATGATATAATAATAAATATATTAATGTTTTTTATCTTTTTATTTAAATACATTTATGTAAGTTATATTACAATAAGTTTAATTATTAATAGAAATAAGGAAATTATTACTTTTAAATTAATGTTATATTTATTATATATAATCTAAATAAAAATTATAGACAATTAAATTAAAATAAAGTTAATAATAATTAAGAATTTTATAAAATTATAAAAATTTTATAAATTATTAAATTGATATAAATTTATTTTATATTATAATTATATAGAGTTTTACACATAGTATTTAATTAAAAAAAAAAATTTAATAAAAATATAATTTAATAAAAAATATAATTTAATAAAAAATTTAACAAGTTTAGATAATTATTAATTTTAAAAATTATTATATTAATTAAAAGTTTAATATTTTTATAAAATATTATAAAAACAAATATTAAACATATTTGTATATATTTTTTATATAAAAAATTAATAATTAAAAATTTGCATTTATAATAAATAATCTTAAGTTTAAGTTAATTTTCACCCAGATTTATTTTATCTAAACATTTTTTTATAAATGAAATAGTTTAAATTCTATACGTTTAATTTTTAGAGTTAGTCAATTATGAGAATATATAATAATATTAAATGATATTTATTTAAATTATCAAATAAAATAAATATTTAATAATTAATATTTATTACAAAAGTAATATAATATTATTATTAAATATCCTCATTTTAAATTTTGAAATAACAAAATCGAAATAAATTCTCCAAAAGCTTGTTATTTGTTAAATAAAAGTTTAAGTTATTAATTTTTAAGTAAAATAATTATTTTTTGATAAAATTTATATTGTATTAAAACATATTAAATCTAAAATAAATATATAATATTTATTAAAATACCTTTAATAATATTAATTTTTTTAAATATTAACAATACCCAAGCTACTTTCATAATTTGACAGACTATATTTGATGAATCATCCTAATTTTAGAAATCAAATAATTTTTAAAATATATTACTATATAAAATACGCAATATAACATATTTATTATTCAGTTTATATGTACTCTATTAAAAATTTAATCAATAGTTTATGTAGAAAATAAATATCTCTTAAAATTTTTTAATATGATCGTTTAGGTCATCTTTTGTATAACTATAATTTTGGAGGTTACATTATTTTTGTTAAATGTAATAATATTAAAGCATAAATATATTTTATTTAAAAAACTTCTAATATTTATTTAATAAGAAAAAAAAAGAAAAAATTAGTAATATAAATTAAAAAACATTAAAAATTTAATTAATTCTTAAAATAATATTTATAATTAATTGTTCATTTATATTTTTATTTATAAAGTATTTTTTTAAAAAATTTTAATAGAAAACGGCACCATTTATCTATTTTTATCACCTTTTTTTTTTAGTCTATTGAGTTAAGTTTAAATAAAAAAAATATAAACAAATAATATTTTAAATAATCTGAAAAATATACTAAACTTAATAAAAAATTAAAAAAAAATACTTATATATTAAAATTAATACTTCAAACATAAACTAATAATGTTTATTTTAAAAAATATAAAATTATAAACTATTATATATTAAATTTTTATACATATATTTTTTATTTTTAATTTGTAATTTAAAAAAAAAATTAAATAAAATATAATATGAATTAGTTTCCAATATATTCTCAAGATAATAATTAATACAATACATAAAACGAAAAATATATACCAAATACCCCAAAAATAGAAGAAAAATCATTTGAGAAATTACGTAAAACATAAATAAACACAGAAACCAAGCCAACAATAAACAACCATTAAATTTTTTAAAGTGAAATTCAATATTATAAATTTATAAACACATGTGCTACAATAATATAAAAATATTTCAGAGGACACTAATCAAGAAAAAATCATATCGAGATATTATACAAAATATAATAATTTAACAATAAATTATATGCAATTACAGAAGGCTGGCGTTTAAGAAAAACATTAAAATTAAACCAAATATAAATGTTAATAAAATAACTATAACCCTTAATATGGAAAAGAAGAGAGATAATAAATAAAATTCATTAAAAAATTTCAAACAAATTCGAATTAGTAAAAATTCTTAAATAAAACCAAGAATACATTATTGTTTAAAATTAAATTTAACCACTATAAAAGATGTTTATTATTTCAGTTACAAAATTTTCAACTACAGGGTTGTGGATATATGAATAAAAATTTTAAGAAAACAACATTGTAAATATAACAATTTTTAATTCGTAAAAAAAGAGAAATCAAAGTGCACATATGGTACGAAATAATAACGAATTTTTAAAAATACAAAGATAAAATTTATAATAAATATAATAAAATTTATTTCCTTTGTAAAATTATAATTATCAATAACATAGAAATTCGAATTCTTTTAGACCATTATTAATAAAAAATAATAGTTAGCATTTTTAAAGCTAAAATTAAACTCAAACAAAATAAATAAACTAATAACTTTTTCTTGATTTAATATAAGAAAAATAACTTTTTAAAATTACTGAATAATTCCAGACTGAAAATTAAGAATTTACAATTAATAATAGTATTATACCATCATATAGCCTTTAAAATATTAATAATAATAGTAAAAATAAAGAAAAAAAATATCAAATGATTATAACAAAGACAATAAAATAAATAAAGAAAAGGAATATTATGATATAGATAAAAAAAATTAATAATATAAAGAAAGCAATTTAAATAAAATAATAAAACTTTAAGAAATAAATGAAGAATTAAGACATATAAATGAAAAAATTTCATATAAAAATGAAGTTAAATTCGCATGGGATGATATCCCTGTGGGCGGAGGTTTAAATAAAAGGTCTAATTTTACTTAATAAGAAGTACCTTTAGTGTACTTAGAAACAGTAAAAAAACAATGAAAAGTGACTTTCCAGATCGTAAAAGTTCAAGTGTGAATATAGAAACAAAATAAGATAAAGATAAACTAAGAGAAAACTTGAAAAAAAGGACAAAATATAATCCTTTAAAAAGTACATAAAATATATATAAAGAAGAAGAAGAAGAAAATTAAAAAAAACATGAAAATGAAAATAAAATAGAAAAAAAATTAAATATGAAATTAAAAAAATATAATTCAATAGAATAAATTCCTAAAATTGACTGGAAAAAAACTCCTTCTAAAGTTGATTGTTGGATTTCATGGAAAAAAAAAGGAAACAATTAATAATAATCAACATAATTTTCTAATATTTATATGAATAATTCTATAATTAAAAAAAAAAAAATTATTAATGATTAAAATAATTTAAATCTAAAAAATATAATTAACTATTAAAATGATAATCATTTATAAACTTTAAATAAATAAAAATAAGATATTATCTTAAATAATTAATATTAAATTCATAATTATACTAGTAATATTAACAATTTACTTAATTAATAATAAAATATAAATTTTTAAAATGTAGAAAAATAATTGTAATAAGCTATTTCAAGTAAAACAAATATATAGTATATCATTAATAAGTTTTAATATATATATTATTATCTTAGACATCAATATAAATACTAAATATTTCAATTAATTAAATGTAAAACAAATTAAATAAGCTATTGTTCCTATTATTTAAGCTAATTTAACTTTTTTAGAATAAATGGATCCGATAAAATATTTAGTAATAAAAATTATTATTATATAAAAAATATTGATTATTTAATTTTTTTAAAAAAGTCTGGTATAATAAAAAATGCTCTTATTTAAAATTTATATAAAAAATAATAATAAAAAAGATGAATATAAAAACAGAAATATTATATATTTATAATACATTTTTATTAAAACATAATTAATAAAATAAAAAATTGAATTTTAAATTAATAAAAAACAACAAAAAAATATAAATAATAATTCTTTTTTTTTTATTGTTTAAAATCTAAAAAAAATTATTAGAAGGATAAAAGTAACAATGGTTTATTAATTTTCTAAGTCATTTGTTATAAAATTAAGAATAAAATACTGAAAGGGTTAAAAGCAATAATAGGTTTTTTGATTTCTAAGTCTTTTGTAATAAATCTTAGAAAAATTAAAACAAAAATACTTAAAATAACTAAAAATTATACATTAAATAACTAAAATATAATTATACTAAAATATATATGATAAAATAAAAATTATTAGAAAATTTAAAATATAATTAGTTTAAATTTCTAAATTTAATTTATTATTTTAATAAAAATAAAAAGAAATTATTTCTTCTTAATAATATAAAATTTTATATCTTAAATTATATAATATATTAAGTTGTAGTTTAAATAAAGAAATTAATAATAATAACCATGATAAGATAGAAATTTATTAAAAATAAAACATATAGTTTATATAAAAAAAAAATATATATTTATATTTAAAAGTTGTAAGAAATTAATATCTAATATTTTTAAAAAATATTATTTTTTGTTTAATACAATATATTATATTTGAAATATTTGTAATACAAAGGTATTAAATTTGATATACTTATAAAAAAAATTTTGATATATTATATACTTTAAAATTTATTTTAAATAGTTTATATTAAAAGCATCAAAAAGTAAGAATATTATAGATGCATTTAAAAAAAAAAAATATGATAATAATAAATATAAAAGTTTTTGAAATATAAATAAAGTTTATTATATTAAAATAAAAAAAACTTTAAGATAATAAACTATTTTAATATTAAAGAAATTTAAAAAAATAAGCATTAAAAGATTAAAAACAAAGAAAAATAAATGAGAAAAAAAAATAGCATATATAAAAGTATAAAAGATAAAATGTATAGAAAAAAAAAATGAATAGTTACAAATATAATAATAAAAATAAGAATATTTTTATTAATAATATAAAAGGTATATGTTAAAAAAAAAATATTCGAATAAAATAAATATATGTAAAAAAATATATATATGTATTTAACTTATATATAAATATTATAATTAATTATTCTTATATAAATATTTATAATAATTTTTAAATTTTACATATTAAAGGTTTTAAATATTTTGATTTAAATATAAAATTTCAGTAAAAGTAAATATATATATAATAATATAAATATAATTAAAAAATATACTATTAAAGTTATATATATTTTTATTTATTTAAGAAAATAATTATTTTATATAAAATAATAAAGAATATAAATAAAATAAATATATATATATATATATATATATATATATATTTTTACAAATATATATTATAATTATATATCTATTCTTAATTTTTTTAATTAAAAATATAAAATAAAAAAAAATATTTCATAATAAATATAATGGCTGATTAATATCCCAAATAATTTGAATCCTCAGTCATAAATGTTAGCAGAGCATCCAACACTAGAACAATTTAAACAAGAATTAAAGGAGCTTTAAGCAATCACGAAAATGTAACAGTAAGTGGTATTGGAAACGCTATGGAAAATGTAGTTTCTTCAGTTGCTGAATTAGAATCCAAAAAGCTTCTTGTCATTAAAAAAATAGAAACAACTTCAAATACTTAAAACAAAAGATTAACACATCAAATGGTTGTAAAAATTACTAGAGGATGTGAATTTAAAGTATAAAATTGATTGAAATTCTTTTTTTGTTTTTAAGTTAAATTTTATATTATTTAAAAAGAATATGAAAATTTATATTATATATTTTTAATGAATTTAGCTATAATTCTTTTTTTTTTTTTTTCAATTATAATTATATTTTTTTTGTTTAATTACAATATTTAAAAATTTTTAAATATATTTATTTTTGTTTTTTTTATATATATAAATTATTTTAAGATTAAAAAAAATAATGTAAATAGTATATAAATATTTTTATTTTATTTAAAAAAAAAATATTTTTATCTAATATTTTTATATTTATTCTTATTATAAAGTATATAATATAATTACTCAGAAAAATTAAACAAATTAACAAAAATTAAATATATATTAATAAATATACATTTTTTTTAAAAAAATGTTATAAATTAAAAAAATAAAATTTTTTAATTATAAAAAAATAAAAACATTATTTAAAATATAAAAATAATAAAAAAAATGAATCAAAAAAAAATAAATAAAAAAAAAATTTATTTATTGTAAAATATTAATTTTTATTAATTTTTAAAAAAGGTAATACATAAAAAATGAAAAAAAAATAAAATACAACAAAAATATATATATAATGTGAATATATATATATATAAAAAAATATATAATTTATATATATATATAAATATATATATATATTTTTATATATATATTTATATATATATATATATATATAAATATATAAATAAACATCACAATTATATAAGAAATTTATTTTTTAAAACTCAACTATACATCATATTTATATCTACTCCTAACTATAATTCATAATCTTCAATTAATCTACAACTTTTTAGATTAATTTTTTTTAATTCTCTTTCATAATAATCTTTTTACTTATCATTTTATGCAATTTTTTATTATGCCTAAAGTACTCTTTATAACTACTAATTTTTAGAGCATTCCGTGATTAGTTTTTTAATATAATCTTTTTCAATTTCTTATTCTACATTTTTGAGAAAACTCGGTTCTTAAGTAATTTTTTATTCGAAGTTTTTTGTTACATAATAAGTAGTTTTTAATTGTGAAGTATATTTTTTAATATTATGTGTAAAAGAATATTCTGTAGAATATAAAGGACCTTCTTTTAATAAATTAGATAAAAATCCACCGAAAAATATAAGGAAAAAAGGTAACATTTATAAAAGTCTTAATATATTACTTCCTTTTTTATTTCCTTATTATTATTATTACTACTATTAATACTATTATTATTATCTTTATTATTAATATTATTATCCTGGTTAAAAAAATGAAAAAAATGGATTGCTTTAGTTTATATCAGAATTCCCAAATGTACTAAAACTACTATAATATACCCCTGATTGGCCATTTTCAAATGGATTCATTCCTCCGAAAAACATATTGAATATATTCTCAGGAGATATATCATCATTAAATTGTTGGCGGTATTAATTATAATGTTATTCGGGTTACTAATCTCCGTATTTGTCGTAAAAAGCGCGTTTTTGAGGATCTGTTAAACAGTCATATGCTTAAGCGATTTTCTTGAAAACTTCTTTTGAATTTGGGGCTTAATTTTTGTCTGGGTGAAATTTAAGGGCTTATTTTTTATAAGCTTTTTTTATTTCTTCTTCTGTAGCAGATTTTTGGATTCCTAAAATTTCATAAAAATCTTTAATTTTCATATATTATTGGACTTCCTATATTTGTTCTTTTGTGGCCATATTTTTTAATTTGTTTTTATTTTAAAATTAATTTATTTGATTAAATTAATATTTTTTTTAAATTAATTATTTATTTTTAACTTTTTCTTTTCGCCTTTATTCAATAAAAAATTATGTAATTTATTAAAGTTATAATTTTTTTATTATTATTATTAATTTATAAGAAAGTTTATTTTATATATATAACATATTATATTGTATTTTTTTTATTTTAATATTATAAAAAATATCTAATTTAGATTAATCTTATGATATTTAAGCTTATAATAAAATATATAAATATACTTTTTTTTTATTATAAAAAATATTATTTTTTTAATTTTTTTTATATTAAAAAAATATAATTTTAAATATTTTAATTTTACAAAAACTTATAATAATATAATTTATATTTTTATTATATTTTAACAAAAATAAATTTTTTATTCATATATATATATATTAAATATTTTTTTTAATTTAAAAATTAAAAAAAATTAATGTTTAAAAAAAATACCAAAATAAACTAACATTTATTTTTTATAAATTCAATTTTATTTATTATTATTATTTTCATTATTAGCTGTATTTTCTTCAGGTGGTAAAGGCGCATTTTTTACAGGTGGTGGTATTTTAACAAGTAATCTTTTTATACCTATATCACAAGCATCTCTTTCTTTTTTAGATATATGTGCAGTATCAAGATTTTTTAAAGAAGGTATTACACCTATAATAAATTATCGAAAACCTGGAATAGATTCAATAGGATTACCATGGATAGTTAAAGAAATAATAGGTTATTTAATATTGAATATTTCTTTTAAGTTATTAATATAATTACAATGCAGATATAAAATTTTTAAATTAGGGAAATGTGAGAAATCCTTTTTTAGATAAAAAAAAAATAGTCTTTTTTTTTTTTTCTTATTTGGGGGTAAAAAAAATAAAAATTTACATATTTAATATTTGTTAAATAATTATGAGAAAGATCAATAAATCCTAATTAATTATAATCGTACATAACACTATCTATTATAGGATAAAATTTCTCTATTGATCTTTTGTTTTTTTTTTTTTTTTAATATTTATTGTTAAATTTTTAATATATAAAAAAGTCTATATTTTTAAATTTTTATTATATATGTATATATATTTTTTCTTTTGCTTTTTTTTTTTTAAAAAAAATAAAAATAAAACCTTATTTTGTTATAACTAAGAATCAAAGATGTACATATTAAATTTATTTTTAAAACGTTTTTCTATAAATTATTTTTTTATTCTTCTATAGTTTTACCTCCAATTCCCTTTTTTAATTATATTTTGATTTTCGATATTTTATTTTACTTTTGTTATTCCTCCTACTGAATTTAAAGGAACATGGTAACTTGAAATTATATTCGCTGCAACATTTGAAGGAATCGCACGTACAACTTCCGGTTCTTTTCTTTCTTATTTTTTCTTTTCTTCTTTTTTATCTTTGTCTTTATTTTCACCTTCTTCTCCTTCTTTTACTTATTCATTTTCTTTTTCTTCGTTTTCTTCTGCATCTTTTTTACTTTCATCATCATCTTTTTTTTTTTTTTCTCATTTAAATTATTATTTTATTAATTAAATTTTACCATTTTTTTTATCATCTTAAACTACTTCAATTGTCTCATTTTCTATCGGCTTTCTTTTTCCACTTCTTGCTTCCATTTTTTTTAATTCTTTTTTGTTTAAATATATTTGTTTCTGCTTTTATTTTTTGTTATTATATACCTAATAAATCTGTTATATTTTTAAATGAAAAATCTAAAGGCTTTCCGTCTGTTGAGGAAAGTTCCTTTATAACTGTATTTTTATCTTAAATACTAGTATTATTATTCAGTAATGTTTTTTACATTTTTTTTTTATTTTTTTTATTATAAACTAAATTAATAAATAAAATATATAAAACTTCTTTTTTTTTTCTTGATAATAAAAAATATACTAACTACTTTTTATAATTCATTATAATATATAAATAATAATATAATAGTTTTTATAGTTAATATAAATATAGTATACTAAATATATAAGAAATATTAAAAAAATATCAAACAGCCATTTACATATTTAATTTAGGATGAAAATTATACCCTACAATTTCAAAATCTTCACTAGTAAAATCATTTATACTTTAGAATTTTTTCTAATCATTAATTTTCAAAAGAGGAAAAGGATAAGGAGTTCTTTAAACTTAAATATTTAATTAATCCACATGATTAGAATAAACATGTGCATCACCCAATACATGTATAAATTCTCCTGGTTAAAGTCCTGTTAATTTAGCTATCATGCAAGTTAAAAGTGAATAACTAGCAATATTAAAAGGAATACCTAAATAAATATTAATATATAAATAATTTATATATATATAAAATAATATATAAATATAAATATAATATATAATATATATAATATATATATATATTATTTTTATATTTATTTATCATATTTTTTTCTTTTACCTAATCCCATATCACATGATCTTTAATACATCATGCAACTTAAATTTCCTTTATTTATATAAAATTAGCTCATTACATGACATGGTGGTAAAGCCATTATACTTAAGTCTTTTACATTCCAAGCATTTAATATTAATCTTCGACTATCAGGATTTTTTTTTATTGTATCAATAAGTTCTTATAATTAATCTATTCCTTTACCTTTATAATCAGTCTTAAAATCTGCATACTAAGCACCAAAATGCCTCCATTAAAATCCATAAACTGGTCCTAAATCACCCTCTTCCCTATTGTGAAAACCTAATGAATCTAAAAACTATCTACTTCCGTTTCCATCCCATATTTTAATCCCTTTATCACTTAATAATTTACTATTAGTGGATCCTTTTATAAACCAAATTAACTCCTTAATATATATTGTTTTAAATAAAAATATAATTATTTTTTTAATTACTTCTAAAACGCCTCTCCAAAAAACATTTTTAGTAGTTAATAAAGGAAAACTTTAAGAAAGATCAAATCTCATTGTTTTTCCGAAAATAGAAATAGTTCCAGTATTAGTCCTGTCATGTTTTTTATTCCCTAATTTAATTATTTCTTTTATTAAATTCAGGTATTAATATTCTTCATGCTCTTAGTATTTTTTTTCAAATAAATTATCTTCATTATTTTACAAATTTATCTGGTAATTTTTATTTAAAAATCGGGAAAAATCGTAGTTTATTCCGTTTTCGCTTTAAGTTTTAGAAACTTCAAGCATTTTGAAATTATCTAAATAACCTTTTTTCATGAAAATGTCGCAAGGTTTTTCTACTCCAATTCGGGTTAGGTGTATTTATCTTAACAAATTATGATTTAGAGCTTATTAACATAAACTTGCACCTCCTATTAAAAATGTCTCGTTTATATTATTTTCTTATTGATGAGCAAAAGCTAAGGCCTCGTCTAAGCTATTTTAAACATATGAATCCTTTGTTATTTATCCCTTTTACATTGTATTAGATACAATTATGTTTAAACGACCTTTTAAGGGCTTAGAGGATTAAGGAAGGCTTTCCCAGGTTTTGCGACCCATTATTATAGCATTACATAAGCCTTTATCTTGGTTAGATGTAGTTATTTACTTAAAATTTTAAAGTTCTTTTGGTAAATGCCATGGGAGATAATTTTAATAACCTATTCCTTGATTTTTTACAGTTTAGGCTAATATTATATCAAAATATTATTTATTTTTCATTTTTAATATTTAACGAAAAATATATTTTTATATAAAATGATAAAGTATATTATTTTAGAAAAAATTAATTAAAGGCGCTTAAATATAATCACAATTTAATAAATATAAAAAAATATTTATATAATAAGAATATTATAAAAATTTACTTTTTAAGTATTATTTTAAAATATAATTTATAAGAATTTTATTTAATAACTTTTATTATATTTAATAATTTTTCTTTTTGTTTAAATTAATATAAATATATAAAAAAATGTAAATATATAAATTTTAATAAAATAAAAATATCTTTATATAAAATATATTATTATATAAATATTATTTAAAGAAAATTTTAAAATTAATAATAAATTTTATATTTTTATAAATATTATTTCAATATTAAATATACTTATATTAATATTTATATTTATATTTATATTTATATTTATATTTATATTTATATTTATATTTATATTTATATTTATATATATTTTTTAAAAATAATATTTATTTATTGCTTTACATTTATAATAGTAATATATATTTAATAAAAAAATTTAAATAATTTTTTTTATTATATATTATATATTTTTAAAGTAAATAATTATTATAACATATTCGTCATATTAAATTTTTAATAATATTAATTAAATTATTTTTAATTTTAAATATTTTTTAGATATTTTTTTTTATTTTTTTCAATATTTATATATATAACTTTTTAATTTTAAAGAATAATTATTAAATGAAATTATAAATATTTTAAATGTATTATATATTTTTTTTATAAATTTATTTATACTAATAAAAATAAAAAATTATGTTTATTTTTTTTTATTTAAGTTCTAAATTAAAAAATTAATAAATTATAGAATCTTTTTATGTATAAAAAAACAAAAAGTAAATATTTAATTAAAATAAATCAATTCAAATTTTTAGATTTTTATCTTAAATTTGTTTTATTAATTTTTATTAAACAATATCTTTAAAATATTATATTTATTTAATTGTAATAAACTCAAATTCAATTTATTTAAAAAGTTGATATTCTTTAATAAAATAATAAAAATTCCCAAATATTATAACACAACAAATTCTAGATAGTAATTTTATTTAATTAAATTTATCGTTTTTATTAAAAAAAGCATCAAAACATAGTAAAATAATAATATTAGATAAAGATAAAAATCTAAAAAACAAAATATTTTATTTTATCATATTAAAATGAAAGTATTCATAGTCTTATTTTAAAATTTTACTTTATATAATAATCATTTAATTAAAAATATTTTTATTATTATTATAATTATCGTCATTATTATTATTATTATTATTATTATTATTATTATTATTATTTTTTATCATTATCATTTTTTTTATCATTATCATTTTCATTATTATTTTCTTATTATTATTTTATTTATTTCATTAAAATATTTAAATCTCCCACAGTTTAAAATGTTATTTCTTTAGATTTACTTAAAGTATACTAAACTATTCTATCTTTAATTTAAATAAATAAATGTATAATATAGAAAGCCACAAAAAAAACTAAACTTGCTGCCAATGCAAATAATAAAGTTAAAAATTTTACATTAATAACACTTTTTTTTTACATTTAAATTTAATCTTCCATTTTTAAACTTTTAAAGCAATTATATATTGACAAAACTAAAATTATAATATAAATAGTAATTAAATGTCCCATAATAAAATAATTAATTTACGTACATAGACACCATAATCCTAAATTGCACAAAATATTACATAAATGTAAAGTAAAATCCTTTATAATAATAAAAGCTCCTTATTTAAATTATTACCTTTATTTATAATTTTAAGAGTTGAATTTCGCCTAATAAATAAAAAAGTTTTACAATTCTAAATTCGAAATAATTATTGTCAAAGCAGATGATGATAAACTAATTAAATAAGCTATATTATATTATTATTCGTGTTAAATTAAAGAGAATAATAAAACAAGTAAAGACGGTCCTGATAGAAAAATAACTTCTATTAATTTGAAGTAAAAAATATAGTTTATTTTTTCGATAATAAAAAGTTCGTATACATAATTTTTCTTCTTCTTTCGAATTTCAAAGTAGTGTAGTAACATTAAATAGTCTTAACCGAAAATTAAATATATTATTAAATAGTAAATATCAATTTTTAATATTACTAGAATTTTAAAAAGTCGCTCCAAAATCAAAAATGTTATTTATATTTGGATTTCTTAAGTAAATCCTAATTTTATGTATTGATAAAGTATATATATTTTAGAAGACATTTCAAATAAATGGATTAACATATATGCATATAGTCTTATTTTAACCATATTATTTTCATAATTGAAAAATTAATTTTGCATTTCTTGTTCACTTTTTTGTTCTAATTTAGATTATTAAATTATTATTGGATGTTATTTAAAAATTGAAAATTTTTTTGCATTATTCATTTTTTTTTTTTTAAATAAAAATAAAAATAAAAAATAATATTAATTGAAAATCAATTTTTTTCTATTTTATAAATATTTTTAGTTATTTTTTTTTTTTATGAATAATTCAATAAAAAGTTTACGTTTTTTTCTTTATTTTTCCATAAACAATCTGTTTATTAGAAGATAAAAAGTTAATATAATATAGAACAGAAAATAGATACGACCCATATTTTATATCAAATATAATTAATACTTTTATTGAAGATGTATTTGCATTTTATATATAATTTATTCATAATATATTTTTTAAAAAAATACACAATTATTATTAAAAAAAGAGAGAAAAAAAGGATAATGGCTTTTATTTTTTTAAACAAGTAATATTTAATATAGTAAATAAATTTATTAAAAAAAATAAAAAAATAGAAGGTTTTTACATAAAATGAAAAATTTAAAACATATACAAAGCAATTGATAAAATAATTTTTTTTTCTTAAATTTTATCTTTTTATTAAATTAAAGAATTAAAGATAATTATTAAATTTGCAATATTTTTGAATATAATAATCTCACAAGTGTTTATAATAATAATAATCCAGAAAATATTTATATAATAATATTAATAGTAATTTCAAAATACAAAATAATAAAATAAATTTTATTGTTATAAGTTATTTTTACGGATATTATCAATAATATATTGAATGAAATTACTTTTTAATTTTTTTAAATAGAAGAAAATGATAAAAAAATATATAGATTTAATTCCTAAATATAAGATGAAAGCAATATTTATAATTTATAAATTATATAAAATAAAACATATTTAATCATATATTTTTTATTAATTAAATTTAAAATTATTTAATATTAATATATCTAAATAAATTATAAGATTTATTAGAAAAAAAAATATAAAACTTGAATAGTATTTTATATTGTTTATTAATAAATAATATGATAAATAAATTAATAAAAAATATAAATAAACGAAAAGCATTAATTAATTATTTTAATATTTATAGATATATAAATAAATTTATATAATTCTTTTATTTAAAAAACGAATATTTTTGAAAAGCCTGTATTATATATAGAAATATATATTTTATTTTCAACACCTTTCAAATAATTTATAAGCATCTTTTTGTTAGAAAAGCCTAACGGATATAGCTTATAAATTTAACTCAGGAAGTATTTATTTTTATTTAATTAAAGAGAATAAAACTCTTTCAAAAAATGAATCCCATTGACTTTAATTTTATTTTTAATTATTTTCAGTTTATAAACCTTAATTACATTCTAATTACCATGCAAAATAAAAAGAAAGTTCATTTGCTAATTAAATGGCGGCTTCTTTTATATTTTAAAAATTTACTTGAGTAATAATTCTATTCATTAAATAAGATAAGTCTTTTAAGTTATTATAATTATCAAACATATCAAATAAATTCGGAAATCCAATTAATTATTTATTTTCTATTGTTATTCCTACAGAGTATTTTAGAAATTCACTATATTATTCAAATTAATCTATATATTTCTAAAAATTATATAATTAATATTATTATTTATTAAAAGATATTATTAATCTTTACATCTATATTATTTAAATGTTTTTATTTAACATTTTCAGGAACTTCATTATAATTATAAAAATGATGCAATAAAGTTTATAAATCTACTATTTTATGAACAGGCTAAGATGGTATATTTCCGAAATTTCTCAAAATATCATAGTTAAATAATTCTTTACTTTAAAACAAAAAATATTAAAAAATAATATAAATATATCACCATATAGGAATAGCATTAAATAAATAAAGATCATCTTATAATTAAGCTAAAAAATGATTACTGGAGATATTTCCTAAATAAGTAAGATTTTTAAAAAACAAATTAGTCTAAACATCATAATTAATAGATTCTAAAAGTTCGTTTTAAAGTTATTTACTTTAATCTTATTTTTATTAATTAACTTCTGAATTTACATTTTCTTAGCTATAATTATCTTATTATTATTATTTATATCCTCCTTTTTCCTATTCTTAAAAAAAGCTTGTAATTTTTTATTCTTTAGGATCGTTTCTAATTTAAAATTTCGGCTAAATAATATTATTCATATTACTATTAGTATCTTATTTAACATAAATCTTTGAAAATTCCTTATCTACATTCAACTATTTAACAATAATCGTATTTTTGAGTAATTAAAAAACCCATTAAAATAAATCTTCACAAATTTCCTATTCAAATAAAAATTTTACTTCCTTTTTTGTCGGATGAACATTCGGATCTATATTTTAAGCATTCATTTAAAGAGCTAAATATGTAAAATATCCACTTTCTTCATCATGTATACTTTAATAGCATTACTAATATGCTTTATCTATTTATTTTTTTAAACTTTCGTTTTCTATTAACCTATTATTAATAAATAAGGTGACTTCTTTAAATTTTTTGGTAGATCCTATAGTTGAAAATGTTCCTTCGAATTAAATATTATATTATTTATTATCAAAGGTAGACGAAATGAAATTTTTATCATTTATTTTACTTATTTATTACATAATTTTTTCTCTTCTCTATATTTTTTTTTCGTTTTTTTTGAATATTGTTTTTTTTTTTTTTTACTGAAATAATATTATTAACAGAAGTAAATAAATTTTATGTCGAAAACTCAATTTAATTATCATTTTTTACCAAAAATTTATTCAGTGAAAAATGAATGGCAAACTAACCAACAATTTTTATTATTTTTCTTTTCTCTTCATTAATATTTAAACTATTTCGCCTGAAAATTATATATATATATATATATATATATATATATATATATATATATATATATATATATATATAAATATTTATATACCTAGCACTCAAATTATAAAAAATATCATTAACTTCAATTATAGTCCCATTTTCACAAGCTACAGGTTCTGGTTCATTTAAAATTTCTTAATTTTTGAACTATGCAGTATATCCTTACTAACAATAAATTTTTTTCGAAGTCACTTTTAAATTTGAAACAAAAGATATAGAACATAAAGCTTCACCTCTAAAACCAAATGAAAGTAACTAACTAATATCATTATATTCTTTTATTTTCGAAGTCGCAAATCTTTCACATAGTAATTAAAAATCATCCTTGTGTATACCAGTACCGTTATCTTATATTTATATTTATTTCATTCCTCCGTCTTTTAAATAAACAAAAATTTCATTTGATTGAGCATCTAAACAATTTTCTATTAATTCTTTTATTGCTAATTTTTATTTTATTAAATATAATTTTTATTCCCCTGCCCCCCTTTTTTTGTTTTAATAAAAACCTGATGATGGACGTTATACTACTTCACCGGCTGCTATTTTATTTATTACTTCTTGTGATAATTTTTATATTTATGGGCCTTAATTTTATTCCTACATTTATATAATATTTTTTTATTAGACTTTTATATAGATTTATTTCGAATTAAATTTCAATTTTATAAATAAAAAAAATTGATAATTTTTTTTTTATAAAATTATATGTTTAGTAAAATATATAAATTTGATATTTAAAAGCAAATCATTATTATCTTATATTAATTTTAATATTTAAAAAAAAAAATACTTAATATATTCAATATTATTATTATAAAGAAAATAATAATTATTTAATTTAAATAAACAATTAATAATATTAATTATATATAATATATATATATATATATATTTTTTCTATAAAAAAAATAAATAATATAATTTAAATATATAAAAAATTCATTTATATTAATATTATTTTTTCTATTAAACATTATAATTTATAAAATTATTTTTCGATCTTTCATCCTATTAATTATCCTAATCAAATTAAGGCATGATCAATTTATTTGATTCTTTAATTTCTTTATTTTTTTATAATTTTACTTTATCGATTCTTTCTTCTTAGAACTTATCTATAAGACTAATAATATCTTTATTATTATTTTATTACTGCCCATTATCATCCCCATATTATTCCAAAATAATTTTTTTCAAAACATCCACAAAGTTAATATTCGGTTAAGCTTATGGTAATCCCATTTTAGCAATCTCATCTTTTCCTACAGAAATTTAAATAGGCCTCAAATGATCAGTTTAATAAAATTAAGTATATGATAATCTTCCAAATAAACTAACATTAATAATACTCCTAATAGACTAAAAAGCATCATTATTTCTTTAAAAAAATAAAATATAAATATTAATTTTTTGTTAATTTACTTAGATGATGAAAAATATAAAGAACATTAATTTACATGAGAAATATACCGAAGTGCCCTTGTGATCCATTTTCGATTTTCCGCATCATTTTTTTCGAAAAAATCATATTTTTGTCCTATAATAATGGTTTATATGGGATTACTTTTAATTCTATTTTTATCTATATGGTTTTCTAAAAGTGGATTAATATTATTTTTTTAAGGCGATGGGTCTTTATTTTATTACTAAAAATAAATATTTGTTTATTTTCTTATTTATTCTATCCAATATAATGCATTATCTATTATTTAATTTGGTTTTGATAAATCTAATAGTATTATATAATATATGTCTTTCAAATTTTCATTATTTAAGGGTATTTATAACATTTATTCAGTTATTTTTCCTCCTCCTAGTTCATAAATATTAATTACTTCTTTTCTATTTGTTGTTACCCTTCTTACATATTAATAATCAATTCCGTTTGTAGGTATATATTTATCATCTGTTTATATTATATTTTTTAAAATGTTAATAAATGTTGATTTTCCACTTTATTAGTCTCCTAAAATTACTAATGTTTTTTCAATATTTTTTAATTCTTGTTAATTTTACTCAGTTTCTTATGCTAATTTCCATAAATCTGTAATATTTTTGTTCATTTTGGGTTGATTAATTTCTATTTCTTCTTAATTGTATTATTGCTAAAAGTTCATTTTTTATTTTTTATTTTTTTCTTTAAATAAAATTAATTATTTATTATAATTTTAGGGTTGTATTATATTTATTAATTTTTTTTTAATTTCATTCAAAATTATTTAAAATAAAATTAATTATTTACGAATAACTTTATTAGATTTTTCTATTTTGAATATATTGAATATAATTCAGATATATACAAAATTTATTTTATTAATTAATATTATTATTTTTATTTTATATATATATTTTATTTTATAAATTAATTATTTTTAATATTATTTTTATATAATTTTTACATTTAATATTTTTTATTTTATAGTTATATAATTTAAATTATATTTTTATATTAATATATTATAATATACTTAAATAATTATTCATAAATTATTAATTTTTTTTATCAAAATAAAGTATTAATATTAAAAGTAATATTTTAAAATATATATTAAAATTATTTGAATTATTTACTAAATTTTTCAATTAAATATTTTTAAATTACTTATAAATGTTTAATATTTTAGTTTTTAAATTTATAATTAACATTCAAGTTTATTATTTTAGTATATAATTATATTTTATTTATTAATTATTTTAACCATTAAAAATATACTTTTGAAAATAATAAAATATTTGTTTTTATCTTTAAATTGAACAAATTAATTATTTATTAAATAAAAGTAAATATTATTAAAGAAAGATTCAAAAAAAAATAAATAATTTTTGTTTGATAATTAAAAATATCATAAGAATCATCTTTATTAATTCTTATATAGAAATGAAAAACATAATCTAAAAACCACATTATATTGAATAAAAAATGTAAATATTTAATCCATAGTAATTATTAAATAATAAAAATCATATGACATAAATATCATTTAATAAATATGTAAACTTATAAAAAATCCAATAACAAAAAATTTATATCATTATAAACAAACAAAGTAAAAAAATGAATTAGATTAACTTCAATATAAATAAGATTCATCAATAACAATTTAAGAAAGTGAATTAGTTCATCAATTAAGCCTTAAAAATATAAAAAAAACCTAAACAAATTTAAATAATTTTGAAACTATTACTTAAAAAAACATCAACGAAAACGCATCCTAATAAGTTTGTATTTACGGGCACACTATAAAGAAAAAATACACCCAAAGAAATATAAAAGGAGAAAAATTAATGTTAGCCTTAAATATATTAGTAAATATAAAAGTATTTTTTCGATAATTAACAAAAAAAACAAAAAATGCTCGTATTTATTAAAAATTAACACAGGAGCAACACTAAATAATAAATGATAGAAGTTCTTTTTATTCAAAAAGATTAAATAATATAAGAAACAATTATTATATTAATAATGTAATTCAATTAATAAAAAATATAACAAAAGATGCAATAAATATAAGTCTTATAGTTCCTATTTTTAAGCAATTTGATTTATCGAAAAGAGTTTGGGACAGTTTTTAATCTATAAACATAATATTATGTATTTTTTTATTTTCTTTAATATTATTTTTCAAGATGGAGGAAAAAGAATACCTTTAATATTTTAATTTTTGTTTTATTACTTTTATTATAGACATACTTTTTAAATTTAATACAGGTTTTTTAGAAAAAGGAAACTTAATAACTTCTCGTTTAAAAATTTCAGCAAATTATTTAAAAAACTTTTTTTTTTTTGACTTTGCTAGTATTCTCCCCTTTTTTAAATTCTATCTTGAAATAATTCTCTTCTAAAACTATTTTTATGATCAATTAGTCCTCGTTTTATTACTTTTAAAATTGTTATTCTAATAGACTCATTATAAAGAATCGCATTTTATTATTCGTTTTAAAAAAACTACAAAAATCTAGTCGATTTAATCAAATTAATATTTATAATAGGTAGTGTCTGCCATATTTTTTCACTTTTCTGGTATGGATTAGCTTATTATGAAATAAACGTACTAAAAAGAACCGATACATGGATTCATGCTTAAAATTTATTAGATTCACCTGTCTCAACAAGATATATCTATTCTTTCTATTACCTAGCCACTACTATGATTACAGTAGGTTATGGAGATGTAACACCAAAAAATCAAATAGAATGCATTTTTTCAGTTATTACTATGTTCTTTACAGGATGTGTATATGCCTATAGTTTAAATTCAATAGGAAATATAATATAAAACATTGAAAAAAGTAACATTAGTTATAGAGAAGATATGTAAGTCATACATAGACTTATGAGAGAAGAAAACGTTGATAATGATTTAAGAATAAGAATATCTGACTATATAGAATATATACATAAAGTAAAAATATCATAATTATATTTATATATATAAGTTTATATACATTTATTTATTTTTATATATACATATTTTTTAAGGAATCTAATGAAGTTTTAAAAAAATTAAAAAATGAAGTAATCGATAAATTATCTAAACATTTAAAAAGTGATTTAGTATAGGAAATATAAGGTAAATTTTTAAAAGAAATTCCTATAATTTCTAAACTCTAAAGTAAAAATTAAATAGCTTAAATAATGGAAGAGTGTTTATTTTCGCCTGGAGAAGTAATTTTCCATTAATCTGATTATGATGATAATTGTTTATATATTTTAGTAAAGGGAAACGTTGAAATTATTTAAGAAAGTCTTAACTAAAAATAATATGAAACTATAATAAAAGTCTTAAAAAAAAATCAGTATTTTGGAGAAATAGGATTTATTACAGGAAATAAAAGGTGCGCAACTGCTAAAGCTATAGATTTTTGCAGAGCTTATAGAATTCGAAGAACCGATTTTTTAGAAATAATAAGAAATAATTCTTATGACTACGAAAATTTCTAAATGGTAATAGAAGCTGTAAGTATAAAAAGAAACCTTAAATTTGCCTCTATTAGGTGTTATTAATGTAATTAAGACGACCATATTTTAATAAATTGTCCAAAAACTCATTATACATAATCAAATCATGTTCTTTTATATAGATATAACTTTAGTTTACCTAATGACCGTAAAATTATAGAAAGAAATAATCGTAAATAATAAAATGCATTATCAGAAAACGAAAAATATTAAAATGCACTTTACGATATTTTAAATAATGAAGCATTAGAAGAAGACATAAATAAAATTATCGAAATTAATAATTTTCCAGAAGAAGATTAAGATGATATAATGGATTTTTAAAATGCAGATGAAGCAAAAAGTTTAAAAGATGAATTTAATGAAATTGATAAAAATTAAAAAAGAAAAAAATCTAAATTATAGATATAAAAATTAGAATATGATGAAAAATAAAAAAATTATTTAAAATAAAATTCATGTATCTCTTCTACATCTTCATAAAATTCAAGTAATTCTAATAAAAATAAAATATAGTAAAATTAAATAAATAATAATATTAATATTAACAATATTAATAATAATAATAATAATAATAATATAAATTCTAATACATTTTCATCTTCTTAAAATAATATTTAAAGTTATAGATAAATCAAAACAGAAATTAATTTAAAAATACCTCGTGAAAACTAAAATATTATTAGAAAATCTAATTCTTTTGATTAGAAATATTTCATAAAAATATTACCTAATTAATAAAATAGTATAAAAGCAGAAGATAAGGCCAATAAAAGTCTTCTAAATGTTTAAAACACAAATGATGATTCTTCTAAAAGCTTAAAAAACCTACCTAGTTTTAAAAGTGAATTAAATAATATGAATGTATATTTAACTCCAATATAGTAATTATTATTAAAAAATAATCCCCATTTAAGAAAGAGATAATAAAATTAAACTTTAATAAACCAAAAGTCATTTATTAATAATAAATCTGGTTTTACGAAAGTTCAGGATATATAAGATTTTTAATTATAAAAATAATAAACTTTAATTAACGAACTGGAAATCGTTGCTTTGTAAAAATTACAGGAATATCTTGAAATGTTTGCAACTTTTTAAAAATTTCATTTGTATAAATATTATTATCCGCATAATAATGCAGATTTAATCATTAAAAATTTAAAACAATAAGAAGTGTTTAAACAGAAGAAAGTAAGAAGTAAAAAGAAAAATAAAGGTTTAGTTTTGAGATAATATCTTACTGGGGCGAAAAATACTAAAAAAAAAGTTAATAAAAACATTGATTAATCAATGGGAAATTCATAATATGATAATAATTCTTAGAATATAGAAAGTAATATATATGATTTAGATAGTAATTAATAAAATTAAGGAAGTAATATTTAAATTTAAGAAAATAGTTTTTAAAATTAAGATAACAGTAGTTGTTAAAATCAAGAAAATATTAATGGCAATACAATTTTAAAAAATATTAATAATTTAGACAATAGAAATAATAAAACTTTTAAAAGTAACCCAATATTTCATAAAAAATGATTTTTTTTTTTCCAATTAAAAAAATATGTATTTTTCCTTTAAATGTTTATTTATATATTGTTCTGTAAATTAATATATATATATTTTTTAATTAATTAAAAATATAAATTCTAAACTAAAAAGAAAAAGATATTAGACAAAAAAAAACATTTTTCAAAAATAAATTCTAAAATTGAAATGGATACAATAAATATCAAAAATGATATAATGGTAGTATATCCTTTAGGTATTATCTAAACCAAAAATAAATAAAATAAAATAAATAAAAGGAGCTGGATAAGAAGTAGGAAGGTCATGTATAGTTGTTGAATATAAAAATAAGACAATAATGGTATAAAAATAAAATAAAAAATAATAAATAAATATAAAGTTTGATTGTGGTTTACATATGGGAAAACAAGGATATGAATAATTACCATTATTCGATAAAGTAAAGACTGATAAAATAGACATAATATTTATAACCCAGTAAAAAAATACACTAAAATTAAAAATCAAAACAAAAAAAACAAAAAAAATAGTTTCCATTTAGATCATTGCGCTGCACTTCCATATATAACATCCAAGACAAATTTTAAAGGAAAAGTATATGCTACATCTCCTACAAGAGCTATATACAAACACGTTTTGAAAGATTCAACAAGAGACAAGAGTGATAACATAACATTATATAAAGTTGATGATATAGAGCGTTCATTAAAATTTATCGAAGTAATTGATTTTCATTAAGAAATGGAACATGATAATATCAAATTTAAATGTTACCCAGCAGGTCATGTTTTAGGAGCAGCAATGTTTTTAGTAGAAATAGAAGGAGTAAGAGTACTCTATACAGGTGATTATAGTACTGAAAAAGATATATTAATTCAACCTGCTGAAATTCCTCATGAAAAGTAGATGTATTAATAGTTGAAAGTACACACGGATGTAGTAATCATGAACCAAGAAGTTAAAGAGAAGTAAGAAAATTAAAAAAAAAAAAAAATACAAAAAATATATAAAATACAAAAAAGTATGAATTTACATAAGAAGTAAAAAGAGTAGTAAAAAATGGAGGAAAATGCCTACTTCCAGTTTTAGCTTTAGGCCGTGCTTAAGAAATAGTTTTAATCCTCGAATAATTTTGGAAATAGAATGCGACCGAACTCCAAGATATTAAAATTCACTATACAGCTGAATTATTTTAAAAAGCAAATAAAATATTCCAATATTACAAAAATATGATGTCTGATCCTAGTAAAAAAAAACTAAATAAATCCTTTCAATTTACATTATGCCCCAAATAACATAACTCGAGAAGACGAAATAAAAGATGATATTGGCTGTGTAGTTTTATCATCCCCAGCAATGCTATAGAGTGGAATTTCAAGAAAAATATTAGAAAGATGGTGCCATGATTCTAAAAATATTGTAATCTTGACCGGATTATGTTCCGAAGGGACTATAAGTCGAACAATTTAAAATTAACCAAAACAAATAATTAGTTAAACTGGAAAATTATTAGATTTTAGAATGTAGGTTAAAAATATAAGCTTTTCAGCCCATGCAGATTATAAATAAACAACAAATTTCATAAAGGCAATTGATCCTAAATATATTGTTTTAGTACACGGAAGCAAAAATAAGGCGATGGAACTATAGAAAAATTTAATGTCTAATTTTTAAAATATAAAAGTTTTTTGTCCTAGAAACGGAGAAAGAGAAAAATTCTATTTCAATGTAACTTAATCTTGTAAAATTGTAGGAGATTTAGAAAAAGAAGTATAAGAATTTATAATTAAATATGTCGAAGATATTGAAAATCTCAAAAACTAACAAATCGATGAAAAAAATTAAATATAAGAAAAACAAGATATAATTGAAGAAGAAATATAAATTCTTGATAAAAAAGATAATATAATAAATGAAAATAATAATTAAGATATTAATAATAAAGATAATAATTAAGATAATAATGTAAATAATGAGGAAAATTAAAATATTGAAGAAAATAATGAAAATTAAATTAATAAAGAATATTACAATTATATCTAAAATAAATTAATTGATGAAAATTAATATAAATAAGATATAAAATAATATGCTTAATAAGATTATCTATAAAGAAAGCATAATATTGAAGGAATAATGATAACTGATGATAATAATATTTTATTAATGAAACCAGATGATATATAAAAAATAAGACTTATAGAATAAATGTAATATATATATAATATAAATAAATATAATTAAATATTATATATATTTATATTTATATTTATATATACTTAATTATATTAATTTTATATAAATTATTTATATTTTGAATTATATTTATATTTAAATATATTTATTTTTATATATATAATATAAATATTTTAAATATATTTTTTTTTAAATAATATAATTTAGATAAATATAATAATGCATGTCTTTTCCTTTTGCTGGTTCTTTATAATTAATAGAACTTTTTAGTAAATAAACTCTTTGCAGAGGAACTATAGAATTAGATGAAAATTAAAAAGAATATGTAAAAGTTTAAACTGATTTAGGAATTTGGATAGATAATTAAAAATAAGAAGCTACAATAAAGTGGACTTCATCAGAAAAAAATGACATTATTGCTGATGTTTTTGGTGATTTTTTATCTAAAATTACTAATAAAAGTGAAGATATTTTTAGTGAAGAAAGTAATAATTCAAATCTTTTGAAAATAGTTTTAAATGAATATCCAGATTCTTTAGTATTTTACATTTAATTTAATATTTATATATATATTATTTACTTATTAAAAAAATAAAAGATTTTGTTACACGAAGGTCTTATTATTATTAGATAAGGAAAGTAAGAATTAGGTACTATTGATTTAGAAGGAAAAGAAATTATTGTAAGTTAATAGAATATTCATATTAAAAATAAATTATAACCAGTTTTAGATTTAATGATGAATATTGAATATTGATTTAATATAATTTTTTTTTTATTTATTTATTTATTTTGTTTGTATTACATATATTTTATTTTTTAGTATTTGTTATATTAAAAAAATTATTTTCAATTGATTTAAATACAATTTTAAAATAATTAATAATAAATATAAAATTATTTATTAATATTATTTTGTATTTAATTATATAATGATATATTTTTTAAATTTTTTTTTTTATATATTTATAATATTATTATATATTTATTTATTTGAAACTTATTTATAAAAGGCAAATTAATAATAATAGTTTAATAATATTATTATATTTTCAAATAAAAATTAAATATTATTTTTATAATAATTTAACAAAATAAATTTTAATTTTATTATATCTATTCATTAATAATAATAATATTTACTATTTAATTAAATTAAAATAAGAAATAATAATTATTTTGATACATATATATATATATATATATATATATATATATATATATATAAAAATATATCTTTATATATTTAAATTTATTTTGAATTTAATCTAATATAAAATTTTTATTTTTAAATTATATATAATATACTTTTTTATTTTAAAAAGCACTACTATTAATACATTATAATAAATAAACTCATATTATTAAGTTAATATTTTTAAATAATTTAAAATTATAATACTTTAAGATAAAAATATAGAGCATAAGAACATATATAAAAACATTATATTTAACGCTTATAAAAAAATAAAGATATAATTTAAAAATATAAATTAAAAAATATAATTAAAATATAATCAAGAAAAATATTATTTTTTTAATTGAATTTAATTCATTGTTTTATTGAACAAAATATTTAATTTTACGAAGATAATGATTTAAATTATATTCTTAATAAAAATTGTTATTTACTATTGAATTATAGTCAAATCAATTTTAATTTATTTTATAAATTATCTAAGAAAAAAAAAAATTAAAATAAAAAGTATTTTATATTATTTTAAAAATATAAATAATATCTTTAATAAAATTATAATTTTAATAAATAAAATAAATAGAAAAGTTATATTTTTTTTTAATAAATAAAAAATAGAAATAATTTATTAACAAAAATATATATTAATTATAATTTTTACTATTTAAAAAAAATAAAAATATATACTTCTTTTTTTATTATATTTATTAAATATTTTTTTTAAAATTAAAAAAATACTTATATTTGCATTAATTATTTTTTACATTACTTAATTTAATATTTCAATTTTTTTCTATATTTAATTACCTTTTTTCTTTTAAATAATCTTAAATTAATATTAATAATAATTAAGTAATTATTATACTTTTTTTTTTATTAAAAAAAATATATATATTTTTTAAACTAAGAAATTAAATTAAAAGTTTATTTTTCTGTACGAAAATAAAAAATAAGCTTTGAATATTTATAAATGATGTATTTTTATAATTTAATATACATTAAAATATTATAATTAATTTTATTTAATAAACTTTCAAATAATAACAATAAAAAAGAATATATTTTTTTTTTTTATAAAATATCTTTATTAATTTAATTATATTTATAAAATATTAATAATATGCCTCTTATTCTATTATTAAATTACAAAATAAATATAAAACCAAAGAAAAGAAAAAAACATATAAAATAACTACAAAAATATTTAATAAAGTTAAAACACACATTTTTATTTAACTACATATATAAAATAACTAAAAAGAAATGGATTTAAACACAAATAAAAATCTCCAAGATTTCGTCCCAATCCTCTCAAACGACCAACTAAAATAAATTTTAAGTGAAAACTACAACGAATTCTAAGTCTTATCTGATCTCCAAATCGAGAAATCCCACGAAAACAATACATTCACGATAAGCATAAAGAACATTCCCAAATACACTTTAAAAATAGTCCCTAAAACTATCGAAAACGATCTTTTCGAAAACTCCTTATCTGAGCTCTATACTCATTTACAAAGAAGCTAATTATCTCATTTATATTAATAGATTGTTACAAATAAATATAATTAGCCATTATCTAATTTCTCTTATTTATTCCGTGAATACCATATTCGTGTTCTTTCATTATTAAAAGGAACCTATATAGGTGAATTATTCCACAATCTAGGCACTACCTTAGGAAAATAGACTGCTATTCTCTAAAACTTTCCCTTTACAGCCCAAATGGTAAAGCCTTATAATCTTTGGGACTTAAAAAATTTCGCTTCTTTATGGAAACATGTTAATAATGTAAAAAATATTGAGTAAAGACGTATATGTAAATATTTTTTATTGAAATATTAATAAATAATACTGCCTATAACAAACGATCTCCGTCAATAAGTGATTCAGGGCGATTTTAATGATAAAAACATAATTGTTAATCCCCAAAATATCCAATAGATTAGCGGTTTGGCTAATTTTAATGATATGATATTCTCTCATACTGTTAATGAATTAGCGATTTCAGTAGCCCATGCGATTCTTTTAAATTCTTCTTAAATATAAAAAACCGCCTATGATCTAATTTAGAATTTTAATATATAATTTCCACTCCAAATTATAGAAATAGATCATCTTTTTTGGATTATAGGAGCTCGTTTGTCCACTCTATAAATAATGTAAGCTCTTGACTAGTTAAAGCCTTAATATGAGCTTTCAGTAAAAACCTAGATAATACTATGAAGTAATTTTATAGAATAAATCCTTTAAATTTCACCAATTGTGTCCGTATATTATGTAAATAAGAACCTCTTTATAATTAAGAATAAATTGATAAAGAACATTCTATTCATTTAACCTAAAGAGCCGCCACTCTTCCTAAAACACTGAGCATTTGCTACAAAAAACCCCTAAATCTGACCCAAGGAACCTACTAATACATCTTTGATGACCGAGGAAAACCTACGTAGACTGTGCAAACAACGTATAACATGTAGGGCACTCACATCCAGAAATAGCCCGCGTGGCAGCAGACTAATACAGCACTTTGAATATTAATACCAGATATATATCACCTTACTTATTGAATTATTGTTAAGAAATAGCCGCTAAATTCCCTGAACCACTTAAATATGTATTCCTAGTAAACTCAGGTACTGAGGCAAATGAACTAGCCTTAAGACTAGCCCGTACATACACGAAAAGTAAGTAAACAATAGTCATAGAACATGGTTATCATGGTAATTCAAATGCAGTTGTAGAAATATCACATTATAAATTTTCTAGAAAAGGTGGAAGTGGTCCTTAACCATTTATACATTCTATCCCGATTCCCGATCCTTTAAGAAACTAAAATTTAGACTATGGAAAAATCATTAGAGATATAATTTAAAAAATAAAAGACAAAGGTGAAAAAATAGGAGCTTTTATTGGCGAATCAATAATCAGTTTAGGTGGTTATATTGTTCCCCCAAAAAATTTAATGAAAATCATCTATTAAGAAGTAAGAAAAGAGGGAGGAATATGCATAGCAGATGAAGTCTAAGTCGGTTTTGGAAGAGTAGGCGAGAAATTTTGGGCTTTTGAACTCCATGATGTAATTCCAGATATTGTTTCGATGGGAAAACCAATTGCTAATGGACATCCAATGGGTGCAGTGATCACTACTAAGGAAATAGCAGATGCATTTAATAATGGAATGGAATATTTTAATACTTTCGCAGGTACTTAGGTTAGTTGTAGGATTGCTAGTGAAGTCTTAAGGATTATTAAGGATGAAGAATTGTAGGAAAGTGCGAGAGTTATTGGAAAATATTTAAAAGATAAATTAAGGGCAATACCAAGTTTCCTTATTGCGGATGTTAGAGGAGCAGGGCTTTTTATAGGAATGGAATTGTGTAAGAAAAACGGAGTACCCGCAGTCGAAGAGACTAAGAAGTTGAATGAAAAATTAAAAGATAAAGGCGTTTTGGTAGGAATTGATGGATATTTGTATAATGTGTTGAAAATTAAACCAAGTTTATGTATTACTAAGGATGATATTGATTTTGTTGTTGATTAATTTGCTGCTGCTTTGTAAGAAATCGAAAACGAAATGCCTTTAGAAGACGATAGTATTGTTTTTGTTAATTAATAATAATAATAATTTGCTTAATAATCTTAATAATTAGGTTAGGAGAATGGATATAATTATACTGGATTATCCATATAATAATAAAATTAATAATAATAATAATTCTAATAATAATGGATTTAATAATAAAAATTAATAAATAGTGAAATTAATAATAGAATGGTTAATACTAATGGATTGAATAATAATAATGGGTTAAATAGTAATGGATTTACTACAAATGGATATAATAATAATTCAGTTTATTCTACAGGTATTAAAAGTAATAATTTAGAAAGAAGCGTAAATTTAGAATAATAATAAGAAATTCTTAATTCTTTGATTGTAAAAAATTAATTGTTTTCTTGAGGATTTTTTTTTTTTTTTTTAAATAGTAGTTGAATATAAAAAAATAATATTATTTTTAATTGTTTAATAGTATTTTAAAACTTAAATATATATTAAATAAATAATATCATAATATAAATTATTACTTAATATTATATATAGTTTAGTTTATTTGAAAAAAAACTAAAATTTTATGCAATTAAAAATATTTTTTTTAAAAAAATATTAAATTTTAAAAACAAAAATTAAAGTATAATATTAAAATTATTATTTTTTTTTAAAAAAAAAAAGAAATAAAAAAAGATGTATTAATAAATACTAATCATATAATTAATATTGATATTAGCATACGCATTATTTTTTGATGAAGACTACACTAAAAGTGTAATAAAAGTTCCTTTAACAAGGATTCAAGGATAGCCTTTTTTAAAAAACGATACAGACTCATTTTGTTATTCTCCTAAAAATACAGACCCGGAATATACACACGAATATGAAATTGGTAAAATAAATAAAAAAAAAAAGGAAATAAAAAAATAAAAAAAAGGAATGCCTACTAAATGTACTGGAGCAAAATAATTAATAAAAATCCAAAATGAATGTGTTTATTAAACTATAGCATATTAAGCCGATTTTTATTTCGATAATAAAACATTTAAGCCTTTTAAATTAGCTTTAGATTTAAGAACTCCATGGAGTTGGTTAAAAAGTCCTGTATGTAGAACATTTACACGAGCAGGTGAAGAAAAGAATTAAAATTGTAATTATTATTAAGATAATAACTCAAAATGGTATAATTAAACATATGAATGTTAATCTAATTATTGTAAAAAAGTATAAAGTAGATGTGGTGAAATCGATTATATATAAGAAGGACTTTCTGTTATGTAAAAAAAAATTATTAATATATATTTTTATTTACATTTTTTTTAAAAAAAAAATAGTGGTTAATTTGTTACTACATAAATTTATTTTAAAGACAAAAACTTTGGAAAAAAACCTATTAAAAATTGGTAAATTTTATGGGCTCATGGGCTTTCTGGTTAGTCAGATTTGGATGCCGATGGAGTTTTAGGTTTAGGTCTTTAGCATGTTTAAGATAAAGATATGGATGAAGAAGATTATGAAAAAGAAGAAGAAGATCCATAAATTTATTTTGAATAATGTATATATTTTTTATTTTTTGAAATAACATAATTATATAAAAGTTACTGATTTATGGGGAGCTATTAATTCAGTTTATAAAAAAATAAAAGCAGAGACATTCGCTTTATATTTAGCAGAACATAATTCACTAAAAAAAACAGTATTTTTAAAATGAATAAATATATATATATATATATATATATATATATATTATATATATATATATATATATATATATATATATATATATAATTATATAAAATAATAAAAGCTATTAATTGGCGAAAAAGTTGTAAATATAACTGATTATATTCATTTACCAGAAAGTTTTTAATTATCATATACTCCAGTACCAGATTTAGAATTTTCCTCTCCTGAAGAATACGCCCGTGTATATTTTTAATGGAAAGTTCCTTTAAGATAAATAGTATTCAGTTTTGATCCTATTTAAAAAATGGAATAGATGATTAAGGAAGTCCTCAACAAGTAATTTTAGGGTATAATAATAGGACAGAAATAAAACTATAATAAGAAGCTTAATTAAGTTTATAAACATCGGCTTTGATTTTACCACAATAAATAATAGACGATATAATTAATAATCTTAATAAAATATATAATGTTAATTGTGATTTAAAATCCAAATTTATCAATTTCTTATAATGTAATGACATGAAAAAACAATTAGATACTGAAAATTTATAAGTAACTATACATTTAGATTCAATTGATAGTGTAATATATATGAATATATCTATATTTATATAAAAAAATTGCCTATATTAAATAATAAAAAAAAATAGAATTAACCAGTAATACTTTATATGAATTCAAAAGATTTAGTATTAGGATGTTAAAAAAATAAGAAAAAACTATTTAATTGTTAACTAAATATATAATTAAGTCATGATAATAAAATAATACTAGGAGATTCTGCTTTCCGTAATAATTTCATGGTCTTTGATATTGCAAACAGAAAAATAGGTTTCGCTCCTGCAAAATCAATTTATAATGAAAAAACTCTCATGAGTGAATTAATTGAAATTATTAGTGAAGTAGAAGATGTTATTTAATAAGATATTATTTTTTTAATTAGATTTTTCGCATTAGTTGTTATTTCAGCTATTATTCTTTTCTGTTTTGTAAATGGAAAAAAAGTCTATAAAATCCTATAGAGAAGATTTAGATATAAAACTGTTAATGATCCATCTGAAATAGCCTATTAAGCTACTAATATTAGCATTAGAAGAAATATTACGGATGATAGTAATGTTATTGAATAAATTTAAGAATTAGAATAAGATGAAAGATTAGATGCTCTTTGAAAGTGTTATTATATAATTAATTTTTTTTTTAGTTCATTTATTTATTAATATGAAACACATATAATATATTTAGTTTTTGATTTTTTTATTTTAAATTTTTTATTTTACTAATAATTTTATTTTTCTTATTTATAAATTTATATATAATTTATAATATTTTTTTAACAAAAAAAAAATTAAATAAAAATACTTTAAAGCACTTTTTTAATTAAATTTAAATAAAAAAAAAAATATATATATTTTAATTAAAATACTAAAAAAATAAAATTATAAAATAAAAATGCAAGAATTTAAAACTGACAATAAAATAGACTTAAATAAATTAGTTAGACTAAATAATTTTATATTTTTAATGTTAGCAATATGCACAAATAGAGTATATAATTAAGACGAATGTAAAGATGATAATTCAGAGAAATTTTTAAATTGGGTACTTAAAGGAAACACATTAATATTCGCGATAATCCTCATATGTTTATTACTAAGTAAATTTTAAATTATTCACAATATAATATAATAATGTGGAGCAGTAATAATAACTATTTCTACATTTGTTTTTATGGGAGCATTTTTTATTTTTAATATATTAACAATGTTATATGGAATATAATAATATTTTTTAAAAAGAAAATCATAATGTAAAGAACTTTAATTATTTAATATGGTTTGTGCTTATATTTATTTAGTATGGCTAATAACTATATCATATAATTATGTTTGTAAATTTATTAAATAAAAATGCTTTCCTGAAGAAGAAGATAATTCAAGATTTTCAGAAATTTTATATAACAGTAAAGGAAATAATAATATAAAAAAATGAAAAACAAATAAATAAAAAATATATTTTATTAATTTATAAATTTTATTAATATAAGAGTTATTATTAATTTATTTAATATCTATAAATATATATATTTATATATATAATATATATATATATATATATTTATTTATAAATATTATATTATTATTTTTTTTCATATATATATATATATATATATTTTATTTACGTTTTTTTAAATATATTTTTATTATATTATAACTATTATATTATTTATAATTTTTATTTTATTAATAATAATATCTAATTATTTTTATATATGCATTAAATTTAAAAGATTTAAATTATTGTAATTGTATTAATATTTTTTTATTTATTATATAATATATTTACTATATATTTATTAAATGTTTTTATTTAATACTTAATATTTAATAAAAATTTTATTATATTAATAAAATATTAAATTTTATTATTAAAAAATAAAAATTAAATAGTTAATTAATACTTTATAACACATAATTTTATTTATTAACATATTAAATGAGTATTTCTTACATTCTTTAAGATTCAAACCGTTCAAAATCTTTAGTAAATTATATATCAGGTCCTTAAAGGTAATTTTTTTCCCCCTATATTATATACTAAATATATATATAATAATAAAAAAGACCTCTTTATTTTAAACGTCCTTTAATATCATAAATATTAGACATTCCAATATACATATCTCAACCCAAGCAGAAATCTCCATTATTACAGGCCAAAACATAACAAGATCTTCATTAAATAGTTTCAAAAACCCGTACAATAGAAATTCAAACCGACTACAGAGAATCCGAATGCCAAACAGACCCTTATTCTCCCCATATAATAGTCCAAAATATAGAATATTCGGAAGTATTAGATCTATAGAATTTAAAATGGGGAAAAGGGCTTCCTTGTTCTATTTTAGAATTAGATTAAATCCAATATAATCGTGAATTGAGGTATTTTAACGAAAGCTTGCCTCCTATTTCGGACGAGGCTTCTTTTTATTTAAGAAGGAAATTAATGGAAGAATAAGAATTATAACAATGGAAGAAAAAAGAGGAGGAAATTCTTGAATTTTAAACCGATAAAATCAATCTTTTATAAAAAGCTTTAATTGAAAGAGAAAAAGAAGTCGAAAATAAAAACTATGATCGCCTTTAGGAAATTAAAATGGCAAAAACAGAAAATAAAAATAGATAGATTGCCAAAATATAAAAACAGAAAATCAAAATAGTCCGAAAAATGACAAAAGAACGTGAAAAATGGTTCCAAATTTAAAAGAATCCCTCCAATAAACGCAATATAATAGAAGAATACGCGAACTTTTCATCCCAAGTATACGCCGCAATAACCCATTAAGGTCTTTCTTTAGATAAAATAGCAAATAAATATGAAATATAACCCTAATAACTCGAAAAATACCCCTAATTAAACACTTTAATAGATAAAATAAACCCCAAAGTGTTACATATAGACATAAGTATATAAAAAGAATTAAAAAAAATCGACAGTTAATACTCTAGAAGGGAGATTAACCATAAACAAGAATTAAATAAAGCTGAGAAAATAATAAAAAACATCAAAGATAAATAAAAAGAAGAAAAGGAAAATTAAAAAAACAATAATAATAATAAATACTCTTTTAAAAATCTTAAAAATAAAATCCGCCCATAAACCCCTACTTGGGAAAACAATGAGGAAAACCAGAATTCATATTTAAGTCCATTCCAAGAATTAAAAGACTTTTTATCAAAAATAGCCTGCCCAAAATAATAAAAAGACAACAGAGCTTCTTAAATTATATTTTTATAAAAAATGCTTAGAGGGAGGTCAACTTAAAATATCATGTATGAAGGAAAAAAGAAAAGAATGGCTTTAATAGAAGAATTACTCGCAGTATCTTAAATTGAAAACCTACCAGAAAATCTCCAAGAGGAATTTCTAATAAATAATCATTAAATATTAATGAAAAAGGCAGCTATAGAATCTATATAAGGTGAAATTATAGTAGAAACTTTAGATTAACTGTCTAAAGAGTTACTTAGAATTATTTAATAGAAAAAAATCTTTAAAATGGTTCAAGAAGCAGAAAAAACGAGAAATTTAAGATAAATTAATGAAGCGGGAAGAAGGTAAGCCGAAGAAATATTAAGAAATAGGGAAAATGTATTACATTAATAGATTATGGCACTTAATTAGGGAACTGTGGATACTTATTTAGATACAATTATGAAGAATGTAGTCGAATTATGTAATATACAATAAATATATAATTATGTATGTTTATATATATATACATATAATTTTATAGCTTCTGGAAGATAGGCTATTATTATGTCGAATCTAAGAAAATAAACTGTAAATTTACCCTTGGAAAAACAAGAAAATATATTTAATAATTAATAAACTATTATTAAAAATTTAGTTCATTCATTTTTAATTCCAGATATTTAGAGATAAAGAACTTAATTAAAAAGTAATAAAAAAAATAGTATATAAAAACTAAAATATAATATATATAAAGTATAATAAGAAGAAAAGAAATTTTCAGAATCAGCTAAAAAATCTTTATAAAACTCTGTTTAAGGAGCATCATAAAAATTATAAAAAAGTAATTGATAATAAAATATTTTAAATTAGATTTAAAATTAAATATAATATAATTTATTCTTATTAATATATTCAATATTTTATGTATAAATTATTTATTTTTTAATCAAAAATAATTAATATTACAAAACCACACTATATTATACTAATTTAAAATAAAACATATTATTTTTTTAAAAAAATAACATTAAATACTTAACAAATAATACAAAATCAAAAAAGTAAATAACAAAAAAAATATAATATTAAATAAAAACTATTAAAAATGAACAAAATAAATTAATAAATTAAAAATGATAAAGAATACCTAGTATAATACATATATGGAAAAAAAAAATTAAAGTTTAAAATAAATGTAATATTTATTAAAGTTAAAATAATTATTTAATAAGCCAATTATGCTTTGTTATGATTAATAGATTAGTTATACAATATTAAACGTATTTTTGAATAAGTCTAAAGCATAAGAGTATTTAAAAATAAAATAATACCTTTTTTAAAAAAGTATTTAGTAATAGAATCAAAACAAGATGATTTGTTAAAAGAATATTATTAAATTAATTAACAATATATTAATAAGAAAAAATAATATATCAAAAGAATATTATAAATAAAAAAGTAAAATTAATATTAGAATATTAAATTTTAAAAAACAAACAAATTAAATTAAATTAAAAAGATTCTTATTTTAAATAAGCAAGTTTTATATTTGGACATAAAAAATAAGAAGGTAATAACATTAATTAATTACTCTATAAGGTTCATTCGAAACAAAATATAAATGAAAAGTTTATATCTCCTTCTTATTATCCTTATAAAATTGTAAAATAGAAAATACCTATTTTATTATTAGATTATATAGAAAAATATGCAAAGATTGAAAATTGAATATACAATTTTGTTTAAATTTATTTATAAATATGAAAAATATATAATATTTATTTATATACAATTATTATTTTTTCATAATAATTATTATATAAAACTTGTAATTATATTATATATAAAATATGTATTTATTTAAATAATGATTTTTATTTTAAATAGATATTATTCTATTTTTGTTTTTTTTTATTTAATAATTAAAATAAGCTTTACATGTTTATATTATTTAAATTTTGAATTATTTTATTATAAAAATTATTCAATTAATATATATATATTTTTTATTTTTTATTTTGTATATTTACTTTTTTATATATAATAGTTTTATCTATATAATTATTAAATATATCAAAAAAACTATATATATTACGTCTATATATTAAAAATATTTAATAATTTTATTATTTATTTATTTAAAATATTATTTTATAATTATATAATTATTATATTAATATATAATTTTTTAATTTTAGTTTTAATAGAATTATATTCTTTTAATTAATAATTTAATATTATTTTTTTGTATTATATCTAAATAAGATATATATATATTTTTATTATAATTATAACATAATATTTTATAAAATTAAAATCTATTTAATTAATTATAGTATAAGTTAATCTTAAAATATTAAATTGTTTATAAAAAGCTACTTTTTTATTTAAATATTAATATGAAATGTAAAAAATATACATATTAAATATAATATAATTTAAAAATCAATATAATATATAAAAAATTTAGTATATACATATCAGAAATAAAATAATTAAATATACTAAATTTAATAAAATATAAATAAAAATAATTGTATAAAAAAAAACTAAATTTCATATAATAATAAAAATACCATATATTAAAAATAATAAGTATTAAATAAAAGTAAAAAGTTACCTATTATAAGAATTTTAAAATAAATATAAGTATTTAATAAATCTTATTAAAATTTTAATTTTACTTAAAACTTTAAAAGCAAACAAACAAAAAATTATGTTTATATAAATATAAATTTTTATACATAAGAAACAAATAAATAAAAATGTTATGCCTAAATTATATTACTTATATAAGTATTAGAAAATAGTTTATTTAGAGAAAATAAATTAATTTATATTATCTTAGTTAAAAAAATGCTTATTAATAAAAATTAAAAAAAAAAAAAAAAAATTATATATATAAAAATTTATAATAATCATAATTATAAATTAAATAAATGATTTAGTTAATCTATTAAACTTAAGAATATATATAAATTCATTTAATTTAATAATAAAAATATAAATTAATAAAAGTTTTACATTAACCTTCAACTAACCAATAAGAACAAAATTATTAAAAAAAGATTTTAATTAAAATAATATTGATTGTAAATACACTTATTTAATTTTATTAATAAAATAATAATGAAATCTTTAATAAAAAATAAAGAAATAATTCCTTTTAAAATTAAAATATTTACTTTTAAAATAAAAAATCAAATAATTAATTTTAAATATAATCTAAATAATATATTATAAGAATAATAACTATTAAAAAATAAAAAGAAAAAAAGGAAAATTTAATAAAAAAATATCTAAATATTAACAAAAGATATAATAATTTTAATCAAATTAGAAAGTAATTTTTTTTTAAATAAAAAAAAACTAAAACTATTTTTTTTCTTTCGAAAAAACAAAATAAAGTATTTTTGATTTTTTTTGAGAATCAAAATTTATTTTCATTTTTCTTTTTCTATTTTTCGATTTTAATACAAAATTTATTTATTTCAATATAAGACTTTCTATTTTTTTTATTAAAAAATGAATAAAAATAAATCAAAATAACTATTAAATTGATTAGAAAAAAAAATTAAAAATATTTCTAAAATAAAATATTAATGAAACTTTTAAGTCAAAACTATTTTTTTTTTTTTTCGAAAAAAAAATAAGATTTTGAAAGAAAAATAAATACTTAAAAATATTCTAAAATATTTTCTCGAAAATGAATTAAAATTCTTATTTTTTTATTTTTTCGATTAATAAAGTTTATAAATTAATTATATATTCTATATTTCTAATAAAAAAATAAGTTAATTATTCTTTTCAAACTAATATTTATTAAAAGAAATAATATAATTTTGAATTAATATTATAAAGCAAAATCTTTTTTAGCTTAAAGAAAATTCATAAAGTAAATTGTTAATAATAAAATTTCTCTTTTTTAAAAAATATTGATATAAAATATATTATGATAATTTATTTTATAAAGTTTATTATATTTAATTGAATAAAAAAAATAATTTTTTAAATGAAAAAAGTTTTTTTTGTTTTGTTTTGTTTTGTTTTTTTTTAAATATTTTTTTTTTTTTTTGTAAAATTAAATTAAATTAAATAAGTATTTATGATAAATTAAAATAAATAAAATCTAATTATTCATTTTAATAAACTCATCCATTCAATAAAAACAGGTTTTAGTTTAGCCGTTTTCCCTTTGCAAGATTTCACAAAATCAGAGTCCTTTTTTATTTTATTTTTTTTTGTTAATAAAAATATATTTAAAATAACAAATTTATAATATAATTATTTCTTTACTATTAATTAATTAATATCTTATCTTTTATTTTGGTCAACTTCAAGACTTTTTTATTTTACATACATATATAAATAAAGAAAAAAAATACCATTTCTAAAGAAATTCAATAAATTCTGCAGAATTTATATTATTTAATTAAGGTATTTTAAAATCTTTTATACTATTAAGTACATCAAAAAATGTTTTATTCCTTAGAAAAAATAGAAATATTAAACCTAAAAATAAATAAAATTTTACTAATTAATATCTATAGGATGTTTAGCTTCTGAAATTTCAATCAAAAGAAGTCCTAGACTCCAAATATCAGTTTTAATAGTATAACTTTCACCAGCTAATCTTTCAGGCTAACCAAAAAAATATAAAAAAATATAAAATAAAAGAATAATAATTACACTCATATAAATAGTAGTGCCAACGAAAGTATTTTTTTAATCTAAAGTACCATTTACTTACCCACAGATGCCTAAATCTGAAATTTTGATTTCTCCTTAAGAATTAACAAGAACATTACCGGGTTTAATATCTCTATGTATAATTTTTAGTTCTTTGTGTAAATATTAAATTCCTTTAAGAATTTAATAAGTAACATATTTAATAATTGTCTCATTAACTTTTCCGGCTTTTTTAAGAATAGAATCGAGAGTACCTTAATCCATATATTCTAATATAATATTCAAAGTTCCTTCATAATAAAAAGCACAATAATATTATACTATATATTATGAATTGCAAGAAAAAAGAGTTTTAATTTCCCATATTAATTATTTTTAGAAATGTTCATCATTATTTAATTTTATTTCCTTTTTTTTTTTTTTTTTTAATATTAAAAAAATAAAATAAAAAAAAACCTTAATAGCATAAAATTTCCCTGATTATTTATGTTTTACTTTACTAACTTTACCTGATGTTCCTTTTCCAAGTTCATTTAATATTTCGAAGTCTTCAAGTTTAAAATCAACATTTTTTTACATTATTTTTATTATCTTTTTATCCTAACTAACATATTCAGTATAACATTAAGATTTTTCTAATGTTAATTCTTTAAATCTATCTATTTTTTATTCAAATATAGATATTATAAATATATTTTAAATTAAAATAAAATAAGTGAATTATAAAATAAAATGTACTTAATAAATCAATATCAACACTTTCTTCAGTTCTTTTTTAACTATTTATAATTATAAAAATTCTATTAGTAAAATTAATATTATGTAAATATATACTTTTCAGAAACTGTTTAGAATTATAAATTTAGTTTGTTCTTTTTTTCCATTTTTTATAATTATTGATAAATATAAAAATATAAAAAAGATAAAAAAATATTTTAAAAATAAATGGAAAATAAAGTAATTATATAATATATAAATTATTAATAAATAAAATGAATTATTAAAAAAATTGTATAAAAATAAAAAATAAAACTTGAAATATGTTAAAAGATAGTAATCTTTATTAATTTATTTATTTAATTATTTAATTATTTATATTATTTTAAAAAAATATTAAATATTTAATTTATGTTTTTATTCTTAAAAATTAAAAATTACCTTTTATCTTTTTTAAAGTATTATCATTTCATCTCTTATTTTTAATTTTTTTTTTTTTTATAATTAATATTTTATTCCTTATTTTTAAATTTCCTATTAGTTTATTTTTAATTAATATAAAAAGTGCATTATTTTAATTTTTACGATTTTCTATAAAATAAGTATATTTATTTATTTATAACCAAAATATGTTAAATAACAATAATTTGATAAGAATAGTTTTTTATGTTCTTGATAATTCCTATTTTTTTTTTTATTTTTTTTTACATATTATTAAAAATCACTCTAAAAATTAATTGTAATATACATTTTAGCGATAGATAAAGAATTTATAATATATGAATAACAAATTTAAAATTGTTAAAAAAGACATATAAATAAAAATGAAAATTAAAGAATAAAGAAAAAAATGACAAAAAAAGTTAATATTATTTGTATAATTCCCAATAAATTGTTAAAAATAGCATCATCTAAATTATTTTTAAAAATTCCGAATATTTAAAAAATATATTAAAAATTCAGAAAGTTAAAAAAAATAATATACTCGTAAATATTAGTGAAAGAAGTATAAAAAATAAAGTAAAAAGAAGGAAAAACAAGTAAAAATAAGGGAATAAAATATAAAAGAAAAGAAATAATAATAATAAAAAACATATTTTACTAATTTAATAATAAATATATACAAAACAAACATTTATATATTTTATAGTCTTATATATATACATTTATTTATACTAAAATATAAAATAAAAAATAAAAAATCTTAAAAAATAATTTTAAAAGAAACAATACAATTTTCACATAAATCATTTAACCATAAACTAAGCAGTTAAACTTAAATGATCACTAGAAAAAACTTAATTAGGCAATCCTTTTTATCCAATTTATTCTTTACTAGGTAATTAATTATACCCAATAAGTTCCAAAGACCCAAAAGTATAAAATATATAATCAATAACTCTACATTATTCTTCTTATTTTCTTTATTTAAAAGTCGTAAAAGAAGCATGATCATAAGCATTTTTAAAAACTCCTATTTTTTTCAAATTTTAAATACATTAATAATCTGGTTCTGCGTTAAAATCTCCTAAAAAAATAAGAGGAAGACCTTTTTACGAATATTTTTAATTATAATTTTTTAAAAAATGATCAATTTGTTAAATTCGAGTATTTTCATATTCTTTTTTAGCTTTTAAATGAGTTACACAAACTTAAACTTTATAGGAATTTTACTTTTCTTCTAAAAGGAAATAAAAATACGATTAATTTACAGTTTTTTCATAAACAAGATAATTAACTACATCTTTTTCTAAAACTTTAAATTTCTGATTATTTATACAGACTAATTATCCATCTTGATTATCTGGTTTTTTATTAAAAAAACATGTATGAGTATCCTTTAATATTTCTTCGAAAAAAACAGGTTTATCAACTTCTTCTAAACATATTATATCAGCAAATGCTCTTTATTTTAGATGTTCTTCATGAAGTTTTTACCGATATTACCAGTTCAAATATTCGTCTGAGCATTAAGGGAATTCGCCCGCAAGAGAATCAGCAAGGGTATTCCATTATGTAATTGTAAAAACTTTATTAAGATTTATTTTATGAAAATCGTTTCGTAAATTATGGTTATCAGAATTAGTTTATTATAAATCTTTTTACATTTTTATTTGTTTATTTTATTTTATTTTATTTAATTATTACATATATATAATATTTTATTATATTCTTCTTTTAATATATTTATCTGTAATAATAGCTTTTTTAATTAAATTTTTTATTTATATAAATATCAATTTCTATATTATAATTTTCCTATTTTATATCTTAGGAAAGTACTGAATTTCAATAATATTATTATTAATTGATAAAACTATATATAATTTGATAAATTTACAAAAATTAAAATATGTTTATTTATATCATTTTAAAATATTTGAGATAATAATGCATAAATATAAAGTGCTTAATTAAGTTGTATTTTATATAATTAAATAAATTTATTGGGTAAGATATTGCAATCAAAATTAAAGTTTTTTAAACTATAATTAAAGGATTATATATATAATTTGTATATGGAAATATTACATACTAAAACGTAAATCAATAAAGAATAAATATTAGAACTTTTAACAAATATAAAATGAATTTATTATATATTAAATTAAAATATTTAAATAAAAAATATTCCTAAAAATAAAAATAAAAATAAAAATTATTAATTATATAATTAATACAATATAAATGATTTTATTTTATTTTTTCTATTTTTTTTATTAATTAAAAAAATTATTAAATTTAAATTTTTTCGTTTATAAATTTTTAATAAAAAAAATATTTCAAAAATAACAAATTGAAATTATAATTAGTTACAAAACATATATAATTCTGATATTATTGATATTAAAATCAAGAATAAATAATAAATTATATTTTTATAATAATCATTTCAATAATATTTTTATAAAAAATAGTTAATTTAAAAAAAAAAATATTTATTTTTAATTTTAAAGCAAAATTTTGAATAAAAAATTAAAAAAAATATGCTTAAAGCAAATAATAAATTAAAAAACTAAATTATAAAAAATAAAAGAAATGATTCCGAAGAGGAAGGTTTTATCGATGATTTTTAAAATGACGAAAAATAAGCTTAATTATAACCTATTTAAAACATTACAGAATATCAATTATAAAATAAAGATCTTTATAATATATTGAAGCTTCCTGAGGCAAATCCACTATTAGAATAAGATTAAAAAATATCGTATACATAAAGGATATAATACAATTAATTACAAATAGAGTAAAATAAAATTGTAAAAATAAAAAATTATATTTTTAAATAAAAAATAATAATAAAAAAAATAAAAATAAAAGAAAAATATTACCATAATATACCAATGTTTTATCCTAAAGAAAAAGTAGAGCGGAATCTTTAAATAGTTCAAACTTACTGCCTAATATATACCCTAAAATAAATATAAAATAGAATTTTTATGATTAAAATACTTTATATGGAAAATATAAAATGTCTAATTCTTATTAATTAATCTATTAAAAATTATTCGACACTCGTCCTGAAAATGAGCAAAAAACATATTTTGCTTCTTATAATTTTGAATTAGATAAAATAAATTATGACCCAACTTTAATAAACACTTACTTTGATGTTTTTGAAGATGAAAATTATCATAAAAATAATGAGTTTTAATAATAGAAGGGATTTATTTAATTTGATAGCAAATTCGAAAGTGGAAATTTAATGTATGTTTATTAAAAGAATAATGTAAATAACGAATATGACCTTATATTAGCTAATGATACAAATTCTAAAGGATATAATTAATGGTTTTGTTTTTCTACAAAAAATAATTAAAAAAACTAAACAATTTAATTTAATATCGTTAATATGGTATTTTTTTTATTTTTTAAATAATATTAAAATAAATATAACTTTTTAAAGTAAAAAAGTAATTCTTTATTTTTAAATGGAATGAAACCTGCGATTTTTTCATATAAAAATTAATTAAAAAGTTAAAATATATAATAGTGGGAAAGAGGAGGATTCGCAATTTAATATTATTAAAATTAGATATATAAAGTAATAAAAACTAAATTTAATTTAAAAGATATTAAAAAATCAAGTATTTATAAATAAAAATCAGGATTAAGCATAAGAAAAAAATTATTATACATTATCTTTTTAATATACATTTGAATTTGAAAATGATACTGTTTTTTTTGCTATGACATATCCATATACATATACTAAAATGATGAATCATATTGAAAAAATAACAAATCAAGCCAAAACCTAAAAAGAAATGTAAAAAATATCAACTAAAAATATATATATATATATATTAAAAAAAAAAAAACAGATATGTAAAAAAAGAAACTTTATGTAAAAGTCTCTGCTAAAATGATGTACCATTATTAACAATTGCAAATACAAAACCTAAAAATACAACAAAAGAATAAAGAATAGCAATAATATTAGCAAGACAACATCCTGGAGAAACAGTATCTTCTTACTTAATGGAAGGTTTAATTAATTAATTAATTTCGAATTCTATAGAAGCAAACTTTTTGAAAAATAAATATATATTTAAAATTATACCTTTAGTAAATCCTGACGGAGTAATATATGGTAATTTTAGGTAAATATAACAGTCTATAAATACAATATATAAAAGTATATATATAGATATATACTTATTAATAATAAAAAATATAATAAATATTCATATAAATATATATATTTATTTTAATATAATTATATATATAAATATATATATTTATATATATATATATATATATATATATATAGATGTAGTTTATCAGGAAAAGATTTAAATAGATAATGGCATTCTCCAAGCAAAAAAATACATCCATGTATATATGGAATTAAGAAACTTTTAAATTATTTTAAAAAATAAAGCTTTGAAATCGATTATTTTGTTGATTTGCATGGACATAGTAAAAAAATGAATTCGTTTATATATGCTTGTAGATTAGAATCTGATATAAACGGAAGTAAATTATTTCCTTTTATTTTCTCTAAAATAAACCCAATGTTTAATTTTTCACAATGTACTTTTGGTTTAGAATAATTTAAAGTAAAAACAATATATATTAATTTTTTTTTAAATAATAAAAATAAAAGGAAAATACGGCAAGAGGAATATCTTGGAATTCCGGGATAAATAGACCCAAATATTTTTACAATAGAAACTTCTTTTTATGGTCATGATACTTAATCGAAGCCCACTCATTTTTTTATTTCTGATTTATTAAGATTAGGTTAAGACTTTATAAAAACAATGTATGCTTATTAAATGGAAAACACCAAAGTATATAATGGAATATGCAAAAATAATCTCCTAGTTGATCTTTAAAGTATACATTTTTAAAATAATTAATAGGAAGAAACATCAGGAAGTGATTCAGATCCCTTTGCGGATGAAATTATAGAATAAAAAAGTGAATTTTTACAATAGAAAACTAAAAAGAAATAATTAAATAAATAAAGTACACAAAAAAACCCAGGAAAAGTTATAAATTAAATAAGATTTATACTTTAGAAAACCTAAATAATGAAAAGGAACAATAAAAAATAATTTATAAAGAAAAATAAGGAAATAAAATAAAAAATTAGCATCAAAACTAACAATAATAACAAGAAAAAGGACTAAGCAGTACATAAATAAAAGAAAATATTAAAGACGAATAAAAAAAATAACAAAATAAAATGAATAAATTCGCAAAAAATACTCATTATAATACAAATAATAATGAATTAGATAATAGATTTTTAACAAAAACTAATTATTCATCAAATATAAATAATAATAAACTTTCTTTAAATATGAGACAAGAAATAAATAATTCCAAAAATAAAAAATATTTGAAATTTAATTATGAATTTAAGGTTTTATAGAAAGGATAAAATTATAGTATTTACTAAATTTTAAAATAGTGTAAAAATACTAAAATTATAAAAGTATAAACTAAAAATGACATTGTTTAATAAAATTAATAATAATAAGGAGGATTAAATATAAATTAAGTAAATAATAATTAATAAATATAAATAAAATAAAGGAAATAAAGGAATTAAAGTCAGTAAAATATAAACGAAGGTAATTAAATAATCAAATAAAAATAATAAATGCATAAAAATCCCTAATAAAATGTCCTTATATAAAACTTTGGAAAAATACTTAAAGATAATATTCATAAATATAATTTTTAATTGAAAGATTTATACCTATAAAGAAATAACTCATCCTAATTTTAAACTTATAGAAATAACTCATAAAACTAATAAAGAAATAATGCTAATAATTTTAATGATAATTATCCTAATACAACAATCCATTCAAACTATTAAACTAATTTGAATTAAAAAGTTAATAAATATAATGTCAATAAACCAAATTATAATTATGGAGTTTAAGAACAATAAATATAATAAAAATATGATGTTAATAATAATTTTTTATAACCAAAAAGAAGTTTAGTTACATAAAATAACTCTACGACTTATAAATAAATTAATAAATCTTACGATATCAATTGAAAATTATAAACTTGAATTATTAAAAACATAAAATAAAAAATATTAATAATATTTAAATAATATATATAAATTAAAAATATTATATTAGTAATTATAAATTTTTTTCATATTAAATATTTTTTTTTATATGTTGCTATTTTATTATTTCTCTTTTGTTTTCATTCCTAAAATTTTTAAATTTAAAAACTACTTCCTAATAAATCTTCTGTAATATCAAGTTATAATTATTCAATAGTAGTTATTTAAAGAAATTATGGAATTTAACATTTCTAAATGGCAATACATTCACAAATAAACTCATTTAAAATTTCCATTCTTCCAACTATTAAATTCACAATAGGACTTGCAAAACTATTTTAATAAAAAACAATTGTAATATTTTTTTTAAATGTTTTTACTCTAATCCTATTTTTATATCATTAAGAAATTGAACTTATTAAAATAGTTCTTTTCCATATTAAGATTATATTTCTTTTGACATACCTGTCATACTTAAAATTAAAAATAAAAAAATATTAAAAAAAAGAAGGGTATTAAATATATATACCTTTTATTTTTTAATAATAATAATTTTTATTATATTTATATAATAATTCTATATATACTTTAAATTTAAATTCAAATTTTATAGATTTTTTAATTAACTTATAGCTTTTTCAATTTCTAAAGCACCTTCATCAGTAATTAAATTATTTCTAATAATAAAATAAATATATATTAAAATATAAATAATACCCAAAACTTAATATTAAATCTTTTAAATCTTATAACTCATTTAATGCTTAAGCAGTTTCTATTGCACCAACTTTATCAATTCTATTTTCTCTTTTTTAATTAAAAATATAAAAGGTATAAATAATTATTATTTACAATACTCCCAATGTAAGTTTTTTTAGTTTTTTTAATTATTTTATAGAACCTGCTAAAGCAGTAACACCTTCTGTACTTAATTTATTATAACTAGTAATTTTATAATTTATTAAAACATTATTATTATATATATTTGTAAATTAAAAATAATAATAATACTTTAACATTAATTATAATTAGGATAATCCTGTTAAATGTAAAAGTGCAGTTGATAATTCAACTGCAGCTTCATCCTCCATATCATTTTGATAAAAATTAAGATCTAAAGATTATAATTTTCTTAAGTTTTTTAGCCCATCAGCTAATTCTTTTATACCTTAATTTTAAATACAATTCCATCCCAAAAACAAAGAAAGTTCCTACAACTCTCTCAAATGTTCAAATCCTGTGGCTATTGTCCTTATTCCTTCTTCTCCTATTTAATTCTCACCAAGTAAGATTTTTAAAGATTTTAATTTTTTCATTGATTTTAAGCCACTAGAAAGTGAATTAATTCCTTAAGATTATACATTATTTGAACTTTAAATTATTTTTTAATATTTTATTATTTTATTTTTTTATAAAAAAAGACTCTAAATATAAATGTAAAAGCTGCATATGTTTCATATGTGATATATATTCACCAATAATTTAAAGACTATCATTTCCTAAATTATTATCACTTTTTAATATTATATTTATTTATTTTTTTAAAGACTAAAACAAATAAAAAAACTAAAAATTACATCAAACTCAATGTTAATTTTTCTAATTTATTTATTTATTAAAGGTTAATGATTAATTATTCTATTCCTTTAGAATTAATACGATTATAACTTGAACAAAAATAAATAAAATTTTAATATTAATTTTTATCATATTTACTATAATTTATTTTTAAAACTCAAAAAAAAAGGCTGGCTATATTCCATTTTTTTTTTAGACTGAGTTTTAAAAATAAAAATACAGTAAAAAATAGAATATAATAATGTTAATATATATATATGTATATATAATATTCAAATATATATATGATATTATTTATTTTTTACTCAAGATTTAATTTTAATTCTTTTAAATTCTTTAAAGAACCTATTGCTTCGGCTAATTTCCAAATTCCTTCATAACCTATATCATTTTCACTTTTGAAAATAAGACAAATTGGCTTATTATATTTTTATTATTTTTTACTTTAATTTTAATTCTAATTTTTCTAAATTTTTTAATAATTTTAATGAGTAAGCTATATTTATAATTCCTTCTAAACCTATGTATTACATTCTGATATTTTTATAATTTTTATTGGAAAAATTATATATTTTCATACCCAACGTCTAAATAAGCTTATTTTTTTTCTTCAACTTATTTTAAAAAACTACTCTCACTTTGTTCTGATATACCAAGTAAAGTATTTTCAAAACAATTTTAATCAGGTAAATCATTACTATATTATTTAATCATTTTTCTCATTTTTTATTATTGCATTTTACAAATATTTTAATTTATTTTATTAATTATGTTGAGTTTTTTTATTTTTAAAATATATATTTAATTTTTTTAATTTAATAAATTTTCTATAGTTCTTATTATTAAAATTTATAATGATTATATTTAAAGCATTTTTTATAAAATTTTGATAAATAATAAATACAAAAAATAAAGCAAAATTTATATCCAATATATATAAAAATAATATAAATACAAATACTAAATATATAATAATTTATTTATAATATTATATATATATATATTATTTAAATATTTTTATAATTAATTAATTAAATATAATTTTTTTTTTTATATGATTATCTTTTTTATATAAGAAAATTTATAAAATAAAATTAAATTAAATTTTACCAAAAAAAAATAATTTAAATTTTATGAAAAAAAATATAAATTTATTATATTTATTAAAAATAAAACTAATATTAGATTACATATTTTATTTTGGAAAAATATAATTCATATTATATTTATTTTTATATTAAAAAAAATTAAACCAATTAAAGAATTCGGTTTTATAATAGTTTTATTTAAAGTTAAAATGTTATAATTATATTCACAATATTTTAAACAATTTATTAGATCAACAAGCTAATTAAATAATATATAATAACTACTTTGAAAATACATTTTTTTTTTATAAAATAAAATATTATATTATAATCTATTTATTAAACAATTTAAAATTACATTTATAAATTTTCAGATTTAATTTTTACATAATCATTTAAGAATTTATATGAAAATATCATCACAAATTTTACTTAAATAAATAAGTTATTATTTAATATTTTCATTAAATATTTACTTTTATATATTTATAGTCATATTATAAATATTTCTTATTTATAAATTAATCGCATTTTTAATTTTAAGTGGACAAAACAATTTTTTTTTGGACATATCTTTATCCAAATTTTTTCCTTTATAAATATTTGTAATTTATCAAAAAAACTTTTATTATTATTTAATCAATATTTATTTAATTTAAAACTTATGTTTTTTTTTAAATCTAAATTTAATTATTTAAGTTAATTTTAATTGACATATAATCATTTCAGTCTTTAAAATATAAAAAATACCTTTTATTTAAATCTTAATTAAATTTAAAAATACTTTTAAATAGTTTTTATATATATATAAATAGTAGTTTATAAAGTTTATAAAATGGATTATATTATTATATTAAATATTATAACAATAATGATAATTTATTTTAAAAAAAAAAAAAATGATTTTATTTTATATAAAAATATATAAAATAAGATATAAAAAAATTTAATAAACAAATATAATAAATAAATAAGAATTAAAAAATATATTATTGAAAAATATTTATTTATTTTTTGATAATTATTACAATTTATTTAATTTAATAATGTTTTATAATAAAAAATTTTAATAGATTTTCATTATATAATTTAATAAAGTTAACAAAAATCATTAATTTTCAACATAATCAATAAATTAATTTAAAAACTAAAAACTAATTTCTGGCTAATCAATAGGAATCATATGTCCTGCTTAAAACACTTAAAAAAACAATAAGTTTTTGTATTTTTTGATTTATCCAGCCTCAAATCCTTTAGAATTTTTTAAAATTTAAAATTTACTATTTAAGAAATCTTTACTAAATTTCCATTATAGATCAAAAATAGCCTCTTACATACCCTAAATATTAACAATTAAATCCAAATTTCCATTAAAAAATGCTATAAAAATTCCTTAATTTAATAGAAACTCAATATTCTGTTTTTACGATTACATTTATTCATTTTAAAGAATATTATAAACATCATAATTAACAGTTTAAAACTAAATTTTATTTAAATTAAATTAAAATAATTTCTAAGTGCTTTCCAAATTAATATAATCATTTAAAATTTCTTAAAGATCTTCTTCATTTTCTACTTTTAATTTTTAAATATTAAAATTATCAAAGTTCAAAGGATTATTTTTTTCCAAAGCCTTTTAATAATAAAACGAGGCTTTTTCATAATTTTCCATATTTATATGTTTTAAGCATTTATCAGCATTTTTTTTGCCTTATTAAAATTAGTTTAAATTCGTCAATTTATTTTCAAAGGCAAATTAAGCAATGCTTTTACATAAGTAAAAAGGAAATACAAATCCATTAAAAACTCCTATTCCTTTTATTTTAAAAGTAGATATTCCTTATTTTAATACTTAGCTACTTATATATGATAAATATTTTCCTGCATAAGATTCCCCAAATAAATATAACTCCTTATTTAGCTTAAATTATACATTTATTACTTCATTATATAACTAATCTAAAACAAATATTAATTATTTACTCATTTATTATTAATTTTAGGCTATTTTATTTTTTTCTGATACTACACTAATCCCTGTTCCTAAAGGATAATCAATAAAAAGTAAATTATATTCTTTTATTTTTTTTAAATATAATTTTTTTATTAATTTTTTAATTTACTTTTAGTCCAAGAATATTGATTTTTTATTAGCTCAAATTACCCTTAGTATTAATTTTTTGCTCTTTTTAATAGAAAAGGTCCTATTTCAAAAAAATTTCCATATTAAGAAGATGCTCCAGGACCTCCTTATAGCCAAACAATTGTAGGAATATTTTAAATTTAAGAAATAGTTTTATTTTAAGCGCCATAGAATATAAATCCTAAAGAGTTTGAGGAGTTTACTTAATAAATATTTAAGTTTCCGGAAAAAATAATGCCATTATATTCAGGAATTTTTATTTAGTTTATTTAAGATTACTTTTATGTTTTATGAAAAAAGTCATAAATAAACTTCTTTTATTAAGATTATTTATAAAAAGATTTAGCTATGATAAAAATATAAAAAAAAAGAAAATAGATTTCATGTAATATTTTATTATAATAAAAAAAATTAAAATATATTATTTTTGCTTTAATTTAATAAAAACAATATATAATATATATTATAATTATTTTATAAAAATAATTATAAAATTATTATTCTTATCATAATAAAAAAGGTAAATCAACGTTTTTAATTCCATAACCAATATAACAATATCCAAATATTTATGAATTAGCTCTATGATAACCGACAAAACCTTACCATACTAAAGATCTTAATGTTACCTTTAGTATATTTTATAAAAATATATAATAATTAAAAGTTTATGAAAAATACTGCAGTTTTTAATTAATCTAATTATAAAGACCAACAACCTTTAGGTTAATCTTCACTTATAGGGTCAAGAAAATCAAATTAGAATAATGCATCATCTCTAGCTAATAATATATATATATATATATATATATATATATATATATATATATATATATATATATATTTTAATTTTATTAACCTATAAAATTTTATTTTTCTTCAGATTAAGGACTTCTGAAATGTTAATATTTAGATTGATCGGTTAATTAGTTTAAAGTTATTCCTTTAAATGATTAATTTTGTCTTAATTCATGTGTTGGTGTTATTTTCAATGCTCCTACAGGATACAAAGCGCAATCGTTTTCTATCGTATATACTAAATATGATAAACGATCTAATTCTGTAAAAGATTTATTTTTTATTCTTATCTCATCTTCGTTTTGATAATTATTATCTTTTTTTAAAAAAAAAAATTAATATATTTATCATATTATATATTTTCAAATATATACCATCATTATTTTAAGCTGGAATTAATTCTTATTTATGATTTCCTGTAAACTAAGTTCTTATTGATTCTACTTCATATTAAAATTATAAATTAGGCTCTGGTAATTCATTAAATTCATATGTATCTGATCTTTATTTATTTTTTCATTTAATTTTTATTTTTTTTATTAATTTTACTTTGCCCAATAAAATTTCTTGGTTGGAAAATCATATTTTCCTCTAAAATTTATTCCAAATATTACATAATAATCCATTTTTAAACCATATACTTTTCCCCAAAATAATACTTAATCAAAATTTTCTGTTTCAGATAATTTTAAAAGAGCAAGTTCTAATTTCATTCTTTTTTTTAAAAAAAATTAATTAATTTTCCTTTAATGTTTTTTTTTACTTTTCTTCAATATTTAGAGTTGCTCCTATCTAATTTACATATTTTAAATCACTCTAGAATCTTGACATATCCATTTTTTAATTTTTTTTTTTGTAAGTATATGATTTTTTTTAAATTAAATTTATAATAATTTTATGAAACTTAATTTGAATAAATATAATAATGTTTATTTCTAAAATATTTTATATATATTAATTTTTGTTTTTTAATAATTTAGAAAAATTCTATTTTTATATAATATTTCAACATTTTTTTAAATTAAAATATATTTAATAAATATTTGATAGACTTATAAATTTATAATTTATTAAGAATTTATAAATATTTTTGTTTATAAATTAAAATTTATATTGAGTATTTATATAGATAAAATAATTATTTTATATTCAAAAAATTATTAATAATAATATATAATAGAAATTATATTGAGATTTCAAATTTAAATATGTAAACTTTTAAATTTTAATATAATTTATATTTATTTTTTATATTTTATCTAATTTTTAAAAAATAATATTAAGTATTTAAATGCTTTAATATAATCAAGCATTTTTGTATATATTTTAAGTTTAATAATAAATTATATTTCTTAATAAAAACTAAATAATAATCATTATTATTATTTTTCATATTAGATATATTTAAATAAATAATTTTATAATAGGTTTTTATAATATTTTATAATAAATATAAAAATGCTTTAAAAAAGTTTATATACATTTTTATTATAAATAAATGTTAATTTAATTAATATATTTTATATTTTGTTCTAAATAAATTAATTTTTAAATATAAAAAATATATTTTTAAATATATTATTTATAAGCAAATGTAAAATTAAAAAAATATTATATTAACTATATTTTACATTTATTAAAAAAAACATATTTTTATTAAATGATTATTTTTCATTCATTTTTTTAAAAAAGATAGTATCCTCTTTATTATTTATATATTTATTAAAAAATAGGATAATGTTTCTTTTTGGTTAATATAATATATAATTTTTAAAAAACCTAAACTCAATATTTAATTTTATTATTTTAATTTCTAATATTTGTGTTTTTGTTGTTTTATATAATTTATTATATGGTTTAAAGTAAAAAAACATAAATTTCGATTATTTTAAGACTAATAAAGTTATAATTTTTAAATGTGAAAATATTAAACTTTATTAATAAAAAAATTAACTATAATCTCAAAAAATATATATTATTAAAAAAATGATTTTAATAAATTTAATTTAAAGCATTTTTTCATTGCTTTATTTATTTTCGGATAATTACTAAACTAATTATAATGTAAAATATTATAATACATAAATTCAATATATTTTTAATTAAATTTATAATTTTCTTAATAAATATAATAAAATCATATATAAAAAAATATTTAGCTAAACTTTATTTGATAACTTCTTTAGCAAATATTATAAAATTATTTATGTTAGTCCCATTAAAATTATCTTTAATATTTGTAATAAATCATAAAATTATATTTAATGTAATTATTGCAAACATTTAAACAAAAAGGCTTTTTGATATCACTTGATAATTATTTTAATAATTTTTTTATTTACAAACTATAATTAGTAAAAATAACCTAAATATACTAAAGTAATTTTTTTATTTAGATAAATATTATTAATATAAGATTACCTTATTGTTAGTCAGAATTAAGAATATCTAGTATATAACATTTTCTATATATTGTTTTAATGTATTAAATTATATCTTCAATTTTAATATGTTATATATTTTCTAAGTTTATTTTCTTTAGCGAATAATACAAAGCAGATATTAAAAATAATATCTTAATATATATAATAATTTATTTATTAAAAAAAATAAACTATATATATATATATATATATATATATATATAATTAAGATAATAAATATATTTGTTTACATAAAAAAATTATTATTGATAATTTTTACGAACAATAAATAAAAATATTAAAAAAAAATGAATAAAGATGATAAAAATAAAGATACCGGTTCTTATAAAAATTGGCTAATATATATAAAGTTAAAAGACTATTTTTATCCGAATCCAAAATATCATAGTACAATAAATCGTTCGCGCGTTTTTAATTCAATATCTTAAGTTTTAGAATTGATAAATATAGTCATTTAGTTATTTGTATTTAGTTATCTTAAAGATATTAATAGTTATATATTTTTCGCATTTATGGCTGGTATTAGTATTTTAACAAATTGTATTCCACGTCTTTATGTTAGATATAATTATTTTTAAATAGCATTTTCAATTCATATAATTTCTTTAATTATTTATGTTTCTTTAGGTATTATTTATTTCATGGCTGAAGGGAAGGGTTATATTTTTAAGATTTGTAATACTATTAGTGATTATTACCAAAAAAAAAAATAGATTAATATTCAGCTTTATATACTTGTTAAAAAATCGAAATTTATTATTTTTTTTGGAACCTTATTACTTATTTTTTTTTGATTATAAGAGTAAGTATTATATTTAAAACTTTATTTTAAATATTTTTATAATTAAAGCTTATTAGTATTGTATTAGGATACAAAGCTTATAAAAATACAAAAGAAAAATGGGATAGTAAAATAAATATTAAATATAAAATATTTTAAAAAATAAAATTAAACTGATATTTATTTAAAAAATTAAAATAGAGGAAGAAAGAAAATAAAGAAGAAAACAAAGATATATAGAAATGGTTAAAAAAAAAGAAGAAAAAAAAAAGTAGATATTTATTTATGGGATAATAATAGTAGGAAACTTTGAAAACTTTAAAGAATAGTAATAATTCAATTAACAGATCTTTTTTAATTTAATTTTTAAAATATTATTATGTTTTGTTTATAATTTATTGTGGTAAATAATTTTTTACATAATTTATTTTATTTTTTTAGAACAAAAAACTCTTATATATTAATATTATTATAAAATCTTTTAATATTTATACAAATTTTTAATTTTATATATAATTTATTAATATGTAAATTATTATATAATTATTGTATTTATTTATGTAAAACAAAAAAAACAATATTAATAAATTTATCAATGATTTTATCCTCCATATCTATCTTAATTACATTGTTTATTTTACTACTACTACTATTATTAATTAAAAGAAACATAACCATATATTTATTATTAATAGTCATTTTAAATTTATTATTTAGGAATACTAGTAAATTAATTATAAGTATTGACAGCTTTATTTTATAAATTTTAATTCATAGGCTTTTTATTAAATGTACTTTATTTTTAAAAAGCTTAATTTGTATTTTTCTAAACTTTCATATTAATATTTGTTTAAGATCTTTTACAAGTTAAAGTCCTTCCTGCATAAGTAAGTCCATTTAAAGTTTAAACACAATAATCTGTTGCTAGCGAATCTTTGAATTCAAAAAAGGCATAACCTTTACTTTAATTTGTTTAATTATCCTTTACTAAATGAAATGCTTTTATTTCTCTTTTTTTTTTTTTAATTAATATATTTATTTTTTTAAAAAACAAAAAATACCCCATTTCTCTTAATTTTAGTTCATCTAATATTTATAATTCGTCCATTTTAATAGGTAAATTGGCCAAAAAAATTTTATTTGGTCCGTCATCTACTACTGTTGGAATTATTACTATTCCAATTGTTTTAAATAAATCTAAATTTAATTTCTTGACCTATTTTTTTATAATTTAATTTCTTTAATTAATAAATTATTATACTTAACAATTTGGAAACATTAAAGGATATTTTTCATATTCTGTAGGTCTTCTTATCCTTAATTATCTATGCCACTAAATATATAATTATTTTTATAATGAAATATTTTAATATACCAAAATTATTCCATCTAATTATAATAAAGATGTTGTTTCTTCAATTGTTCGCAATTCTGTAAATGCAAATTTACCTTTAGAGTCAATTTCACATTTTAAAATCTTTTTTTTTTAACAAAAAAAATAAAGAAAAAAATAAATTAATATTTTACTGGATTTTCGTTTGGGAGTGATTCAACTAAACCTCCTGCAGCTTCTAATGATCTATATAGCCATTCACTTAAATATTCTTAATTAATTTAGTCAGGAATATTTCCTATATATAAGCGTCTTTAATATATATTATATATTTGTTATATTAATATACAAATATATAAATAATTTTTGTTATATTTATTTAATAAAATAATAATCATCTATATAAGAAAAAGAAAGGGAAAGAAATTCAATTTTTTGACATTTTTATTTTATTTACTTTTCTACTCTTTTGTTTTTTTTTTTTTTTCTCAATAAAAAAAATCAAATTCAGGCTAAATAAAATTTTTTCAAGATTTAAGATATTTCATTTAAAGGAAATTTAGTATTCAAAAAATTAAAAAAAAAAAAAAATTAAAAGAGAAAAAAATAAAAATAAAAGAGAAAATAAAAAAAAAGTTAAAAAAAATGAATGAGGTTATTCATTTAAAAAAATAAATAAAAAAATAAAAAAAAAGAAATGTAAAAAAAGCAAAAAAAAGAGAGGAAAAAAAAAAACAAAAAAAAGATAATTAAGGCAAAAAAAAAATAAAAAAAAAATAAAATAAAATAAAAATTTCTCAAATAAGAAGAAAAATGTAATTAATTAATATTTATTTTATATTTTACCTTGCATGTCTGTAAGTGTTAAAATTATCATTTTAAACTTATTACTATGATGTATCTTATTTAATCATATCTTAAATTAAAATTAAATTCTGATTCAATTAAACTTGATTAAAATCTATTCCATTTAATTCATTAAAAAGCTATAAGTTAATATGATCATTTTATTTAATTTAATCTATATTGTTAAATTAATTATTACTTTAACTATTTTAACTTGATTATCTATAAATATTACTTCTTATTTATTTTTAATTATCCTTATTTGAAGATCTAGAACGAGAACGTTCATTTTCTTGTTAATTTTAACCACTTTTAAGAGTACTACCAAATTTATTTAACATTAATTTTTATATTTTTTAAAAAATATTTTAATAATAATAATATAAAATATTTTTTTGAAATTTTATTTTTCTACAGTCTAGATTTAATTTAATTTTTTTATAATTTATATATTTAAAAATGAATATTATTTTTATTTAATGTAAAATAAGTTTAATAAATCGAATAAAAAATATTTATTTTGAATTTTTTTATAATAATGAATATGTTAATAAAAATATAAAAGTATAAAAATTTAAGAAATAAATTATAAAATAATAATATTAAATGATAATTAATAGAATAAATAAATTTATATATACTTATAATTTTCTATTTAAAGTATTTATAATTATCATAACAATTTTAATATTATTAATTTCATATTATAAATTTGAAAATTTTTAATTTCTAAATAAATAGATTTAAGTAAATATTTAAATAAAACAATTATTATTAATTAATATAATTAAATTTTTTTAGATGATTTTTTTTTTTTTTTATAAAATAAACAAAATTAAAATATCTAAAAAATAAAAACTTTTTTGTCTAATTTTAAAGTAAAAAAAAAAATTATATTTAATCAAAATAAAATTTTAAAATATATATAAAATATTTATTGTAAAATATATGTAATAAAAGGAGACTTAGCTTAACTGGTAGAGCGTTGGACTCCAAATCCAACGGTTGCGTGTTCAAGTCACGTAGTCTTCAATTTTTTTTTTTATTTAAATGATTTATAGATTATTAAATATTTCTGGAAATTTGTAAATATTTATTTTAGTTTAAATATATTTAATATTAATAATTAATATTTGATAATAAAAGAAAGTATTATTTTCTTATTATTAATTGATTTTTATTTATTTCAAAATAAATTATTACATAATATTTAATAATATTTATTTGATAAAATTATACGTATAAAATAAATTTATTTTTTGTTAATATTTTGTTATTTTTTTGTTAAATTAAAAAATAAATAAATTTGTTTTTATAAAATAAAAATATATTATATTAAAAAAAATCAGAAATTTTAATAAAAAAAAATTAAATCTGAAAAAAAAAAAAAAAAAAATTGAAACTATTAAATATTAAATTTTTAATATAAAAAAATTTAATTATCATTAAATAATTTTTATTAAATAAATAAAAAAGATATAAAATAACTGAAAAATAATCTAAATATCATTATATATATATATATATATATATCGTTTCAAATTTACTTCCTTTGATTCATAAGTTACTATTAGAATAGTACCCTTCTGTACTAAAACTACTAATGTTTCCTAAATTCGCTTCTAAAAAGCCTCTATTTTAAGTTTTAACAATAATTTCTGTATTATCAATAATTTTTATATTGGAACTTTTGTTAAAATTGTAATATTAGTTTTTCCACAAAGAAGGTCTTTCTTAGCTTTTATTTTTTTTCTCTAATTTTTTCTAATAATAGCTATTTTCTTATCTAAGAATTATTTCTTTTAATTTTAATGCATTTTCAATTTTGGTTTAAAATAACCTTTAGTAAGTAAATAAAGCCAAACAAATAAAAGAAAGAATTATTTAAATTTAACAAATTTTTAACATATTAAATAAACAATAGCTAAAATTGCAAATAATTTTTTAATTTTCATCTATTTTTTCAATACATTCTGTTTAAATTTCAATTTTTCTTTAGTTAAAGTTTTCACCATTATGTGCATTATGTTCTGAAAATACCCAAATAATAGCAAAATTCAAAAATATGTTAATTAATATTGTTACTAAAGAGATTTTTTTAATTTATTTTAGAACTTTTTTCGTTAATTATTTATTTAATTTTGAAGATAATAAATAGAAAGTTAAAAGTACTGAAAACAAACTTAACAAAAGTCTACTAATCATAAATATTTCAAAAGTACTTTAATCATAATTATTTGATATTCGATCATATTAATAGGCTAATTATTATTATAAATCAGGCTAAACATATTTTAAATAATATAGCATTAAGCTATTATAAAGAGAAAAGGAGCTGATACAAAGAACTATTAATAAAAATGTTACTTAAATATTTAAGGATTTTATTTAGTATTCCATATTTTTTTTTTTATTAAGTTAAGAAAGATTTAAATTATATATTTTTTATTAATTTTAAATTAAATATTTGTAATTATTAAAATTAAATTGTATTTATATTAATGATGAATCACTAAAAAAACATTTTAAATTTATGATAAATTAGATAATTTTAATATTTATTTTTATCATATATTTATTAAATATTTTTTAATAAATTAAAAACAATTGTTTTTATTAAAATATATATATATATTTTTTTGTTTTATTTTTTATTTATAATATAAATAACTAAAATTAAAAATAATTAAAAAATGGGTTTTAAATATAACTTTTTATTAAAATAAGTACCTGAATGGAAAAAAGCATATATAAATTATAAATACCTTAATAGAATATTAGTACCTTTTAAATTCTGTTTAGAAATATGTGTAAAATCCAGATTTGAATAAGGTAGCGAATTAGTTTAATTGGTAGGAATTTAAAAAGATAATTAACATTTTATAAAATTCTAAGTCCTTTTAGAATAAACATTTTAATAAGAAATAGAAAAAATGATGTACTTTTTTTAATATAAGCTTTTAAGTTTAATGTATAATTGGTAAATTTTATATAACTAATATTATTTTGTGAATTGTAAAAAGAAGAAAATATAAACGAATTATGATAAATTATAAAAGGATTTAAAAACTAATTTCCATTTATTTTATAGATAGATATATCTTTTGAAGACTTATGTTGATTCAAATAAATAAGCCGTTGAAAATCTAATTGAAAAATATTAGAATTGTATCTAATATTTAATGACCAATAATGACGATTTAATTGAAAGGTTTTTTATTGTAGTATTTTTTTAATTTTTTAATTTTTTTTTTTTTTTTTTCTCGAAAAATAAAATAAAAATAATATCTTAATTTATTTTAATTTTTAATTAAAAATAATAATATATTTTTATTTTTCTAAAAAATAAAAAGTATTTTAAAAAAAAATTAATAATGGATTTATGATTAGACATGAGGAAAAATTAGAATTATTAATGGATGAAGTAGAAGAAAATTATTTAGAGTATTTTTATTCTTTTTATAATAGATAATTAGGAATAGATGAACTATAAAAAATAACTGATGATTTAAATTAATAGAAAAAAAATGAGTTTTAATTTGGAATATTTACAGGTTTTTGCGTTTTCTTATTAATATTTATAGTCATATAATTATCTTAAATTAATATAGATGATCCCAGGTTATCCTTTGTAACTTTATTTTAAATATATAGAGGAATAGGCTTATTAATTATGTAAAATATACATACTAAAAAATAATATATATTCATTAAAAAAAGGTATTAATGGTTACTTGCAATAAATGTTTTTATTTGGTAAAAATATTAAGTGAACTATAAAAGAATATTTAAATTTAGTCATCATTTTAGTACTTTAAAGGAAATATTACAAAGAGCTTCAACATTTACATTTATATATTTATCATCATTTGCCATATATTTACTAATAAGACGAAATGATGAAAATATACAGAAAGATTTATCCTATTAAAATTATTTATATTATGTACAAATATCATTTCTTCCTTTATCAGTTTGGGTTATATTTTTAAGTTATTTATTTTTTCCTTCAAATAAATGGTTTAATCCGTAAGGAAGAAGATATTTTTATAAATTATTAAAATATATTTTTTAAGCGCCTTTTAGAAAAATGGAATTTAGATTAGCCTGGGCTACTGATTAGTTAGTTTCTTTTATTGTCCCTTTAAAAGATTTGGTTACTTCGGTTCTCTTTTATATGTCTGATTTCGGCAATTTTAGAAACGCATAAAAATGTATAAAATTTTATTTTAAAGTAATATATATTATTTTTTTTTTAAATTAATAATTTTTTTTCTTAGTTGTTTCCAAAAGTGCTACATAAAAAATAATGTCTGGATTTGTCATGGCTATTATTCCTTCTATCTTGAGAATTATTTAATGCATAAGGGCCATGTATGATGAAAATAAATGCTTTGGTACTAATAATTTCTATAATACGTTGAAATATATTAGTGGACTTTGTACTAGTATTCTAAGTTTTATATAAGGATTAAATAGTAATTATTAATAAGTTTATAGGTATTTATGGATTTTTAGTGCTATTGTTTCAGCTCTTTATAGCTATTATTGGGATTTGAAAAAAGATTGGTGTTTACTTTAGAAAGGCTCAAAAAATTTCTTATTACGGTTTTTTTGTTTATTTTTTATTAAAAATAATATTTAAATATATTATAGAAATTAATTATCTTATAGAAATAAAAACATATATTACTAAGCATTTGTTTCTAACTTTTTACTTAGAGTTACTTGGGTATTGAGTATTTCACCAAGCTTTTCTACGTTTTTACCTTCTTGCATGTTTTAGTTTTTAATAGGCTTTTTAGAAATGTTAAGAAGGTATTTTTTATTTCATATGGAAAAAAATTATATTTTTATTTTTAGATGTTAATGGAATTTATTCAGAATAGAAGTTGAACATATTAAAAATTGTTAAAATTTTTAAGAAGTTTCAGATTAGTTAATTTAAATTGATTATCCAGATAATATTTAATAATTAATAATCGAAAATAAAAAACTTAAAAATTTAAATATTTACTATTAAGCTCCAAATAAAGAATTATTAGATAAACTAAAATAGTATTTCTATCAAAACTATTATGAAAAAGGGCAAATAACAATCGAAGATATAGATAAATTAAATAAAAAAATATATAAATTTAAAGAGCAAGTATATTAAAAATGAAAAAACTCTCTAAACTTAACAAAAAAATATAAAAAAAAATATTTTTCATAAAAATAAATAAATTAAAAATTATTTTTCAAAAAAAAAAAAATCTATTAAAAAGCCTTTATAAAAAACTAATTTTTTTTTTTTTTTCACAAAACTTTCCTTTTTCACAAACTTAAGTATTTTACTCGATCCCATTCTTAAATCCTAAATACTAACATGTCGCTTTTCCGGTTTCCATGAAATCTTTAGGGAATTTATAAAAATACGGATTTTAATTATTATACCTCCAAATATATGCTTAAGCCATTTCTCATCAGTTGTTATCTAAAATCATAATTTTCTCTTCTTTATAAATTCCTAATTATTAATAAACTATATAGTTCTATATTTGCATTTTTTTTTTCATTTTTTTATACAATTAATAGGAAATACCCACCCACTAATTAGGATTATTTTAATTTATTCAAAAACCTATAATTTCGCTTCGCAATTTTTTTATTTTACATGTATTTTTGTCTAATCAACTAACAGACTATTACATTCAAAGGCTTATAATTATTCGCTTCCCATCCGATTTGGAAATAAGCTTGATTTTCACTTTAAAATGTGAGCGAAAAGCTCATTTATACATTTTTCAATAGGAGGATAAATACAATGATAATTGTCAAAATTTTATACAAATCTAAAATTATTAAATAAAATAATATACTTTTTGGCAATCTTATGCTTCCTCCTATATACAATTTATAATATGTACCCATTTTCAATACTAAAAAATAGCACACAGAGTCATTTTGATACTAAAATATTTAATTCTAAGTAATTTAAGGATTTTCAGATTTTAAAGAATTTTAAACCTGATAGATCAGGTTCATTTTTGCATTGAAAATCTAATGAAATTTTTCTTTTATCACATTTTTACACGCACGTTTTTCATTAGAACATTAACTTGTTATTTTCTTAACTCAATTCAAGGTTTAAACCATTTTTATAATTTATATATTAGCATAAAATAGTGCATGTGCTTTGAATTAAAAAATTTTAGGGCATATACATCAATAAGTAAAATATAAGCTTGATTACTAATCGTAATTTATGAATTTTTCCGGCAAATATTATGATGTTCTAATTATTGATCATTGTTTGGCTTTTTAAGTTTGTTTAAGTGTATTTAAATGCAACATTATTGTTGGAAATATCAACCTTAGTCTATTTTTAGATCACATAGATTCGAAGTATTTTCTATACATTAGAAATTCGATTTTATAAGGTTTTAATTATTATTAATAAGAAAAATAATTATTAGAGTTCTTTCTTTTATTATTATAATTAATTGTTAATATTTAATATGAAGTTTTATATTTTTAAATAAATCTAAAAAAAAAATATTTATTTAAATAGAAAATAATAATAATAAATATTAATGGGATAATATTATCCTAATTAATTATTTTATTTCTATTAAGACTATAAATTGATAAAAAAATATATTCGAATATATTTTTTTTTTATTTATAAATATTAACAACTATATTATCTTATAGAAAAAAGAAAATTCTTAAATATAAATTTATTTATTATCATATATTATTTTTTCATTTGGAAATAAATTATATTTAATAAAAATTCATATTTTCATTATTGATTTAAATAGTTATAATTTTTTTTTCTATCGAACTCAATCTATAAATAATCATGTATTTAATTGAATAAAATATTTCATTATAATTAAAGTATTGTAGTTTTAATTTGATATTTTATATAATGTTTTTAAGAAAATTTAGCTTAAAAAAATTAGATTGAGCTAAATTTTTTTTCCCCTTATATAAAATAATATAACAAGAAAAATTAATAAATAAAAAATATAAATATTCTTTTTTGAGCATTAAAAAAAAAATGGAAATTAGTGAACTTTTAAATTAATTCAATATAATAGATTCCTCAAAAGACCATTAATAAATAAAAAAATCTGACTATTTACTTTAAAAATATTAGAAAGATGCAAAAAGTGCATTATTACTATTAAAAATCCTTTCATAAAAAGATTAAACTTACACAATATAAATATTAACATCTAACATGCTAAAAAACATTTTAAAGTATTATTTTTCAAACTTTATATAAAACTACTAGAATCAAAAAAATGATTTAAACATTGAATTTACTTAATAGTTACTAGAAATATTAAATATCCATCCTCAACTTCCTATTTAATATAATATTTTAAATTGCATAATCTTATATTATATTCAAGAAACTTATAAATCAGTAAATTTTGAGTATTTTTTAAATACAATCCATTAAACCTTAAATAAAACTTAAATATTTATAATATACGAATGTTTTCCTGAAAACATATATAATGAAAAACTTTAAATATAAAATCAACTTGTAAAAAAATAAAAATAAGCATATATATATATATATATATATATTATTATTTCTTTTTTTTAAAAAAAAAGATTAAATAATTCGAAGAAATTATTTACCCTAAAATTCTTCTAAATATAACTAAAATATGTTCAATAGAAAACTTTTTTTTTAATGGCGAATAAGAAGAGTAATAGTAAATAATTTTTTTGAGATTAATAAAAACTTATATAGAACAAAATGAATCCTTTTATGAAACTTTATTAACTTAAAATGAAATAGTAATCGAATTCTGTTTTAAAAACTTAAGAAATTTCACAAATAAAATAAATTTTGAAATTTTAGAATTAACTACGTATATATTATTAGATGGAATTTAATAAAAAACTGAAAAAAATGACTATTTTTTTCAAAAAATATAAACCGAATAGTCTTTATGGTACCAGAATTTGAAATAATAAGCTCAAGAAATAGACACAATAAAAATATTTAATAAACTAATACTTAATTTTGGAATATTCGGCTTAAATTTCATCACAAGTAATTAAATTTTCGAATAAAACTTCTTAAATTAAATTCTTTAATTAACCTTTGGTGAAAGAATGTAAAACGAGGAAGAAATAGTGATTTTTTGGACAAAATACATACAAAACTATTAAGGAAAAAGCATTTTATATACCCAAAACCTCCTTATATAATTACTAGAAATAATAATCTAAAGAATAACCTATTACGACGATATGTTCGAGAAATTCAACAATTTTTCTATTAAAGAAGTGGAAGAAATAAGTGAAAAATACGAGAACAAATAAAAACAAAGATACACATTAAAAAAATTAATAAAAGATATTGGAAAGAAATTAGAATAAAATTCCCTTAACACTTTTTTCGAAGAAAAGATAACATTTTTTTTAACTTAAAAAAAAGAAAATTTCCTTGAAAGTATTTTATATTGCCTAAATGTGATTTTATTCGAAAATGGTGAGAAAAATAAAGATTTTTTCATAAAAAAAACACATAATATAATCGAAAAAATACTTGATTTATATAATTAAAAAATATCCTTTTTAAATATCAAAAATAAACGCATTTTTCTTTCCTTAATAATCACTGTTTCTTTTACATTAGAAAATAACCTTGTTATATAAAAAAAATGCCTTTTTTTTATCTTAGAAGTACTTTTTGTTCCTTTATTAACTGATTTGGCATAATAGACTTTTTTCATTTTTACTAAAAATTGCCTTTAAATTATTTCATAAACTAGATTTTATATTATTTAGGATTTTTTATCTGGATTCTTTAATAATTAGGACTTTTGGTTAGAAATAAGTCAAAACTTTTTAAAAGCAATTCTTTTTCTAATACTTGAAGATGATACTGGGATACTTTAGGAATCTTTATTTGCTAAAATATTGCATTTTTATCTAGATAGAATCAATTAATCAAATATTTTTACTTAAATGGAAAGTCTTTCGAAAATTAAAGTCTTTGTTTAAGTTATTTCTTAGGGTTTTTATAATTAAAAACATTTTCTGGACTTAAGTATTGATTTTTTATGGTAATTTTTACAAAAAGAAGAAATATTTTAAGATCTTAGTGAATAAAAAATTCTTTTATTAGAAAAAGCAATCGATTTATAAATAAATATATTGACTTTTTATAAAGAAAAAGAAGAAATTTTTCAATTTTAATTTCCTAGTTTTTTTTTCCAAGAAATAATTAAAATTTTATAAAAAACGCTTTTTTCGGGATTTTTTAGACTATTTGGATTTTTTATAAAAAACTATTATAATAAGAACAAAGGTGAATGTGAAATCGGTATAAATTAAATATAACATTTTTTTTTAAGAATTTTTGATAAGCCTGAATTTTTATAAAAAACTATAATTTTATAAAATAAAATATTAGAAGAATTCTTCAATATTCTAAACTAAGCTTTTTAATAAAATTCAGATGTCATTTATATTATTATAAATAATATATAATTACAAAAAACTATATATTTATGCCTATAGTAAAGATTGTATAGTTAAAATTTATGTAAATTAATTGATTTTTTAGTTAAATAATAATAATAAAAAAGATAATAATAATAATAATAATAATAATAATAATAATAATTATAATAATAATAATAATAAGAAACTATAAATGAAAATTTTGAATAATTTATAATTAAAAATATAAATTGCTTAATGGAATAATTATAAAATAATATTGATTTTTATTAAGTGAGGTATATTTATTAATTTTTATCTATTTTATTTAGTTCAGGAGAATAAATAAAAGATACTTTTATGTAAAACTGTGATATATTTTTAATATAAAGTGAAAAATAAGAATTACAAAATATATTATTAAATTTAAAAGAAAATAAATAATTTATAAATTAATTTTTAGATGAATTAATTTTTGAAGATGATATTTATGAAAATGAATTTGAAAAGCTTATTTAAGATATTTTTTTTAGATTTTAAGAACTATTATATTTTAAATGAATTTTTATTCTGTTTTTTTTTTAAAAAGAAGAAATTAAAAACACTTAAATTAAAATACTAGAAAAACTTTTATGGTTTTTTTTTTTTCAATAGAGTTTTTAATAAAAAAATATATAAAAAAACATTATAAATAAATTTTATTCTTTTTTTAAATATTATATATATTTTATTTATATACTTTTTATATATAAAAAAAATATATTATAAATAATAATCATTAATTTTTCTTTTCTTATAAATCTTACTAAATATTTTTTATATTATATACAGATTCTTAATTTTCTTCTTCTTATATTATATTTTTTTCTTTGTTTATTACTTCTTATATTATTTTTTATTCTATAATTACTTCTTCTTACTATTATTAAACTCCTGTTTCTTCATCTTTTTATTATTATTCTTCTATTTCTTCTTCTTTTATATCTTAATTTTACTAATTTCTAATATTGTCTTCTAATTATTTTTATATCTATCCTAATTCTGCACATTTCTTTTATAAATACCTTTCAACTTTATTTAAAATACCATTATTGTTTATTAAGCATCTTCATTATTTCATCTATATATTCATCACTTTTATCATCTTCAATTTAATTTTTATTTTCTTCTTCTTGATTATTTTCATTATTATTTTTTATTTCTTCTTGGTTTTTATTTTCTTAGTTTTCAAATTATTTATTTCTAGTATATAATTCAATATGCCAAGGAGGAAAAAGACTCATCACAAAACAATAAAAAATTCATAAATTCTATTAAAAATATAAACTAAAGTACTTTATTATGTATTCTTTTAAACTATTTGTTTTTTAATATATTTAAACAAAAAAAATATAATAAAAATATGTAAAAATTTTACTATTTTATTAGATTTTGTTTATTTTTTTCTCAATTTTTATTTATTTATTCAATATTTATTTCTTTTTCATTTTTTAAATTTTAATGATTTAATTATTGTTCTTCTTATTATATTTATTATTTATTTTCTTATTATAATTATTATTTATCTTCTTCTTTTATATTGATATCATTTCTTTCTTCGAAAATAAATTTGTTATTAATTTCTTATTAAAAATTGTCATCTATCTATTCTTAAGTATTTTTATTTTATCCATCTTATATATTTTCATTTAAGTTTTATTATTATTATATTAAAAAATTGTTAAAATCTTCATCTTTATTTTATAAATAAACTGCATTATTTTATATTGATTCTTCAAAATTTTCATTTAATATTTTTATATTTTACTACTCGATTATTTAGTCTTGTTTAATATTATTATTTTCTTAATTATTTTATTATTCTTATATATTTTTATTAACTTAATTCTATTATTATTCGAAATTTAAATTTAAATCGAAATTTTATTATTATTATTATTATTATTATTATTATTATTATTATTATTATTAATTTTACTACTATATTTTTTTTTATTATTTTAATCTATAATCTTAATATTTAATAAAATAATAAATGAGCAAAATAGCAAAGAATAAATAGTAAAAATATCCTTTAAAATAACCTGAAAATAAGAAGTAAAAAATAAAAATTTAAAAAATATTTTTTAAATGGAAATTATCCTCGTTATTATCATTGATTTCGTTATCAATGTTATTATTTTATTCTTCTTATTTATTGTTTTGGTTATTTTAATTTTTATTTTCTTTTTAAATCTTCTCAAGTTTTTCTTAAAAATGACTATTAAATATAGGAATTTGATTCATAAACATGTTATTATTTAGATTTATTTAATTTCTTTTTGTTTAAAATTATTATAAAATATTTAAATAGTCTTTCCAAATTAAATGTTTTGCATATTAATTATTTAATTATTCTTTTTTCTATTAAAATTCTAAAAATTACTCTTTTATTTTAGAGTCTATTTATACAAACAATAAAATTTAAGATTGATCATTTTTTAAATATTCTTATAATATATTTCATCTTACAACGAATTACCACTTTATATTAATTTAGTTAATACATTTTTATTTGAGATAATTAAGGATGTTTATTAATAATATTGATTTTAATTATGATATGTTCCAATGTATTGAGACTTCTATTTACATATCTTATATACTTTTGTTAATATTTCTTAAAGTTATTTATATTGTCATTTTTTTTTTTTTTTATTAATTTTTTATATTATATATAAGTTAAAATTTTTTTCTATTGTTTTTAACCTTTAAATATTAATATTAATATTATTTTACGAATACTTGTATAGCATACGTAAT